TCTGAAACCTGTATGCGGCTCGGCACCTTGGTCAGGTGCTATTAAGCACATTTTGTCCCTGCCACCCCACTTCAAAATGGTTAATAAATGAAATGAAATGAATGATACCCGGACCAGGCGGATTTTTTCGGTCGCTCACCAGTCACCTAGCTGTGTTTGGAGATTTGTGTTTGTCCTTTGTCCCTCTTGTTCCCCTTCTCGAGGGACTATTTTCATCATTCTTGTCCAGCTCGCTTGCACCTTTGCATTTAATTTCATTTTAATAATAACCTTAAATTGCAAGCTTCACCCTTGTTGGTGTTAGACTGGTGGCGGCTGATAAAACCCGTTTGCTCTACTGACGTCTAACCCCTGGTTAGCTCAGTTGGTAGAGCGCTCCACCTGTAATGGAGAGGTCCCGGGTTCGATACCCGGACCAGGCGGATTTTTTCGGTCGCTCACCAGTCACCTAGCTGTGTTTGGAGATTTGTGTTTGTCCTTTGTCCCTCGTGTTCCCCTTCTCCAGTGATTATTTTCATCTTTCATCAAAGGTTACAGTTGTCGTCGAGTTCTGGGGACGACAAAATTAATTCCAAATTACTGAAAAACACTAAATTACACTCAGCTCGTTTTTTGTTAATTATCTTCCAGCAATCTTTGTCTTCCGGCGAGCTTCCTAAATATTGGAAAATTCGTAGAGTGGTCCCCATACACAAATCGGGGGATCGAACTTTACCATCAAATTATCGTCCTATATCTCTAACCAGTATCCCCTGCAAGCTACTTGAGGACATAATATATTCAAATGTCATGAAGCATTTCGAAAATAACCTCATCGTCTTTCCAAACCAACACGGGTTCAGACAATCATATTCTTGCGAAACACAACTTGTACAACTTGTTCATGAAATACACAGTAACATCGATAATAACATACAGACAAACGCCATATTCATTGATTTTTCTAAAGCATTCGATAAGCTATCCCACAGTTTACTCATGCTCAAGATAAACCAACTTCACATTCATCCACTCGTAACATCATGGATAGGACAATTTTTAAAATCCTACTCAGCATACTGTGATTAACAACCGGTCGTCAGCTTATTCTCCTGTATCATCCGGAGTCTTCCAGGGCAGTGTTCTTGGACCTCTGCTTTTTTTAACGTTCGTAAATGACCTACCAGATCGCATAACATCCTGTATTCGACTTTTTGCTGATGACTGCGTAATTTACCGATCTGTATCTAACCTGAACGATAACATAACCCTACAAGCTGGCCTTAACCTAATAGCCGACTGGTGTAAACAGTGGAAAATGACAATTAACTTTTCTAAAACAAATCTCGTTTCCTTCACGCGTGCTCATAGTCCTCTCTCTTTCACTTACACCATGTGCAGCCAGGTAATTACCAAGTGTCCATCTTACAAATATCTGGGTGTTCACTTATCTGACGATCTCTGATGGAACACGCATATAACACACGTCCTGTCTAGTGCTAACCGCTCTCTTGTCTATCTCGACGAAATCTGAAACTAGCACCATCATCAGTTAAACAACTAGCCTACACTACACTCGTAAGATCGCAACTTGAATACGCGTCATCAATCTGGTCCCCTTGGCAACATTCATTAATAACAAACATAGAGGCACTTCAAAATCGCGCAATCAGATTATTTTTTTCAAATTACTCACGAGATACCAGCATCACTTCTTTACGAATGAAAGCTAACCTTGATCTCCTCTCAACCAGAGGGAAATTATCACGCCTGTCTCTTTTTCACAAGATTTACAATCATAACCATGACATCAGAACTTCACTATTATCCCCAGCCACTCGCATATTTCCTCGCATTGATAACGTCTGTAAAGTTCGTCCAATTTTCGCCTCGTCAGTTTCGTTTCTTAACTCCACCTTGCCATTCACAATAACGGACTGGAATAGCCTGCCTAACAGTATCGCGACCCCCCCAGACAGATTATAATACATTCATATCCCAACTGACCATCCATCTGCATTTGCACTAATAGCAAAGTCAACTCGTGTTTATAGAAATGTTTTATTTGGGTATTTTTCTGTTTCATCAGCTGTTTTTCCCTAAAAATGTTTTAAGTTTTTTTTCTGTTTTTGCTGCTTTATATAACAATGTTTTCAAGCATGTAACCCACTGTTTTGTTTGTTCCTTTATATAATGTTTCTTCAGCAGTTACTCCCACCTTGTATAATGCCAGCAATGGCTTTCAAGCTTTAATAAATTATGATGAATGATGAAAAACAATAAAAAAATAGATTTCCCCTTTCCCCTACCAAGCCAATGCGTTTCTGTAACTATCATCAGGGCATGAAGATGATCGCAAGGCAGACCTTTGAGGGATCGGTCTAAAAAAGCTAAAAACATCACACCCGCGCCTCTTCCCCTTGGCAAGGGAATCGCCAATTTTCCTCTGGTCGAACCTTGTCGGCGTCACCTCACACCAGTCCCACTGAGGGACAAGATTGGGACCGCACCCACGCGGGAGGGAGTCACAATTTTATTCTGTCCCGCCGGTCCCCCAGTCGTGCTTGTTAGTTGCACTTCACTCAATTTTCATTAAAATGGGGCAACCATAGTTGCCCCCACTAAAATGGAGAAAACGCTTATTTTTATCAAGGCGTTGTAAATAAGCGGAGTACCTTGTGAATGAAAGCGTTTATGTTTGCGCACGTGAATTTTTGTTAAAAAAAATAAACAGTCTATGGGGTCAGCACTTTAGCGCTTAGTCTCCTGCATGCTTCCGACATGCTTGTCTTACTCTTTGCCCTGTTCTTTTTTGTAGCATCTGCGTGTACGCGTGCATCGTTTGTAATTGTGAATTGAAACAATGGCACGAATTAGGTTCGCGACAAACTGCGCTTTTGGTGAACAACTCAGACCCTCTAGATTTTCTATCGCTTGCACCGCGGAATTCCACGCGTTACGCGGAACTGCCGTGGGTGCCGTTCAGCCTGACTAACATAACGGAAGCTTGAAACGCGATAAATAACGACCCTGCACCCATGTGGCGAGGAGCTTCAAAGAAGGGACATTTTCGCTGGCGCTCATGTGTGCATAACTCGAAGTGTTCCGCCCGAGCAACTTCGACCTTAGTCAAGAGACGGCGACCAAGCCGCTCACATCGTGATTCATTTGTTTGCTTTGGCTTGCATGTCGTAGTAGGTGAATTCTCTAGTCATTCATGGTTCTCTTGCTTGCGCGTGTGTGTCTGTGTGTGCTGAGATTAGTTTATTTGCTCTGTGTAGTTCCAGGAAGCCAAGTAATAAATAATAATAAGTGAAAGAGCCTTTGTATTGACGGGTCGAAGTTGAAATAAGAGTAAGAAAACACGAAAGAGTACCTCTTCCTGTCTTGTGCATAACCTTTGGTTGTAGTCCTCCACCTGCGTGTTCATCATGAGCGAATGGAACACGCGTTCTAATTGTGACTCAAATAGCATTTTCTGTGTACACTGAAAAAAAATAATTATTCAATCTTCAAATAATTTGGCAAATATGTTTCGATGAAGTTTAAATGGATCAGGACATTTAATTTAAAAAAACTCGCGCTCCCTTGTTACGGTGTTTCACAGCGTAAACCTTGGCCAGAAATGTTGATGTTTTAAAACAATACTGGTTTTTAAAAAAATTCTGGGATTGCGAATATAGAAACAAACGGTGGCGCAGCGACAATTTCACTGGTTTTGTTTTGTTTATGCGCCCCTTCATACCTCAAATTTGTTTAGCAATGCAAATGCATTCTTCTGTAAAACAAATAAAATCGATGGTGCAAGTTCGATGGAGAAGTCAGAATGAACATGAAACAAGAATCTCTGGTAATTCACCTCTTGTAACCGCATCTCAAAGTCAGAAAAGGTATATGAATCGAGCATCATTATATTACTTTGCCAATCATGAGGGGTGCTTGGTACACTCGTTAGTTGTTGTTTTTTCGTCAATTATATTTTTTATTTAAGAAAAATATTTGTACGCATGTCGCACACATTTTAAGCTGTTTACGTCATTTCCAGGAAATGACGTAAACATACTGCACTAACAATAAGTGCTTTCACGAATGTTATAGGCATATAGAGCAATTAAAGCCATTTTGGTCTGTTTTTTATGCCTTCCGTTATATATGCTTGCTTGTTTTTTGTGTGTGTGTTTTTTTGTTGTTTTACTGAACATGTGATGTATTTTAAGGTTAAAATAACCCTAAGCCTATAGGCTGGTGGTTGCCACTCAACCCTATGCATTTTTTTACCATTTAAGTCAATTATAAGGCCTATTCTAACTTCTTCTGACTGGTCGAAAAAGCTTTGACTTAATACAATATCAAAAGATTTTAGCTAGCAGGACTTGTCCGAATAATTCAGTCAAGAGAGCTTCATCCAATACTATCCAAGTTAACACTTAAGGCAGCTCAAGTAACAACACTGCGACTTCTCCTACAACCACTTTAGCACTCGTATAATATCTTGTCGCCTGAACGAAACAAGTTCAAGCTTCCTAAACAACTGTAAAGAGTGCCACAAAACTCAGAAAGAGAGTTAAATAATAAACGCTGAAAAATAGGCAGCACAAAGCAGCTGCAGAAAGAGGCATCTTCCAGTGATCTTTATAAAACTAACCGCTCTCTTGTACGCTCCTCCGCGTTACCCCACTCAAAGTCGCCCTTGACTACTTCGAGGGGGAAGTCGTGAGCAAAGGGGAAGAGCGCGCACTCCAACGAACATGTCAAACGGGTAGCCTTCTATTGCTGCAAAGGTTGTCTGCGGCTCATACGATCCTCCATCACAAAAAGGCTACCGTCAGACTGACACGACTGCTGTCCTGAGCATGAATTGGACTTGCTTCGTCATCGCCGCGACCTGCGTCTTTCTTCAGCAGCTCCGGTTGTCGTCTGGTGATGACAATGGCGGCAGCGCCGTTGCAAGCACTGGTTCTAACGGATCCTCTTCGACAAATGAAGTTCTACATTCCCATGTCACAAGCTTCGGGAGTGCGATGACCACGGAAGACGTCTTTGTGACCAGGTGGAAAGCCATCGAGACTGGATTGAAAGAGAGTATTCGGGACTTCGTAGCATCGTCATATCGCGACGCCCTCCGTTTGGTGTACGATGCCGAGCTCTCGGACGACTGTATCATCAGCTTGACGACAATGCTCAAGGGACTGCAGGAACTGAAGGCAGACGTCTTCAGGAGTGAGTACAAACTTCACATTTCAATTGATTGAGCTCACGTGGAAATGTGAGTCAACGGAAAGGTTACGTGTACAAACACGTAAAATGCGTCCATGGGTTCCAAATGATTCGGGGTGTAAGATAAATCACGAGAGGGCCAGCGACCGGTATTCATTTATTAAATGCTGACAAATGTGTATTTTTCTAATAATTTCATTTTAGATACCGGGACCGCAGGAACCAGCTGCAAACAATATGCTCCTTAGCACAAGTTATGCGCGAAGCTAAATGCCATTCCAGGGTTACTGGAATCGCACTGACACAGTTCGGAGCGGAAGTCGTTCTTACATTAACTGATTCAGTGGTTTTCGATGACGCTCAGCTAGTTTCCAATTAGCACTATATATATATCCTTCAATTAAATGGTTTATCAATATATTGTACTTAATTATCCGACTTAAAGTGAGAATTAGACCTTTATTATATGTCCCCCTGTCCGTATAACTAAGCTGTCAAACCGAATTAGTCTATTCTTCTCGGATTATTTTTAATAAATCTGTTCGAATTCAAATGAAACACCGCGTATATAAAACACATCGACTTAGTGATTCCTTCAAACTTTTACGCAAGGCCGCTGCTTCATTAGCCCAAGGGTGGGAAGCTACAACAAAAGCCCTCGTTCCTGAACGCATTTGTTTTCTTTCGGAAACATGCCCTCCAGATGAACGCTTTTGGTTTAGGTTTGAAGAGCCTAAACAAGATTTTTGGAACCCAAACATCATGGAATATTTTCAACTGGGATTGATGTTGGAGTGCAGGCCCACGATTATTTATGTTACGTTCAATATGTTTTTTAATAAATAGGAGTTTTCGCTTTTGTTTTCTTTTGTTTCTCAATAACATTTATGTCATATGTGACGAGATGCTGCATAAGCACCAAGCATATAAAACTGTGTTTGGTCAAACTTACTGTTAATAATAAACGATTATGTAAACACTCAAACTAAAAAGCTCAATTTATTGGGTGTCTATTTATATTGAATAACAGTAATTCAAAAGTGTCACACCATAACGATCTGATTTTATTAAACCAGTATTAATAAGAGATTCGCTTAATTAATACCGAATAAGAGGAGAAGGTAGTGACCTTAATCTCAGCGTTTAAAATACTAGCTTATTTCTGAGAAAAATTACATTCAAAGATTTCTAGCGAATATAAAAACCTAAATTTTTATTTTCACTTAAACGTATTTTATCACATTTCTGTGAATGCCATGCAAGTAAAGCTCCCCACCTCCCTCCACTTCATGTTAGTTTCATATACTAAAAATTATTTTCCTTCCGCTGACATTTTGTTTTTGAGGTCATGGCGTCGGCTGGAATTCGTTCGAGGCTTGAACTTGTTCAAACGGTTTGAAGTTGTTGTGCATATTCAAAACCATTAATTCAAAATATCTACCCAAATTAGGTGTTCTGAAGTCATTATACCTCGGTAGACGCTTTGTAAGCCTTGTGCACCATTCTCGTCCCGACCAAAGAAAATAACTTGTTCTTGAAAAGGTCAAGCCGAAGCTACAATATCGGGATCACGCTAAACCGTATTGTAAAGAAACTTTCCCTCCGCGTTTGCCTTGCGGCACCTCCGGGGGCGCCTTGCATAGCGCGAAAGAGGCAAGTGCTGTCCGTGACAATCTTTTCCATAAAGCACGTGACCTATCAAAATAGTTTTAAGGGCTTGTGGGAGATATTACGTGGCCCTTCACGATATATGCGTCACAAAAGTCGCTCGAACATTTTGTATCGGGCGGCCGCAACAAACGGTCGCTCAGTGTCAGCTTCCCGTCTCACGCGTGGATCTATCCTTTAAAGCAGCTCAGTGTCCGGATAAAAGAGAAGGTATTTCAGTGCCTTTTTCTTGTGCCTATTGGTCCGCCTGACTTCAGAAGCTCGTCCAGCGAGCAAAAAAAAAAAGACGCCGGGGACGCCACTGTGATGGCACCAGGGACGACACCATGACCGTGCTGAGCATTTCGTCAACGGCAGCGGATGCTAGTTTCGCGTTCGTGGTTTTCGCTGAACGTATTACTGACAATGTGTATGCGTTTGTGGTGTACCCGCCTTGTTTTAAGAGTTGAACTACCGTACGTCTCAGAAATTTACCCAGCCGAATTGTCAGTACCTTGAAAGAAATTTTTTGGCAACAAAAAACTTCGTTGTACTGTCCGTTTTTTTTTTTTTTTTTGTGTGTGTGTGTTTTTTTTTTCCCTACGTCTCAGGGTTACTATGGAAGAACTCGCTTGTCGCAATTTTGTCTGGTCGCTTTTGTCTAGTCGTTGGTTCTTATCGTCTTTCAGAGTTTCAACATGCATTTCTCAATATCTAAAATAAACTTCCATTAACGTTTTAACTGAACTTTTGGTTTATGCTTCACAGTCATTTCGGCTTTGAAAGGCTAAAAGGTCTGAAGGGCTGAATGTAGTGAACGGCTGAAGGGCTGAAAAGGGATAGGGGGCCTGATCGGTCCGAAGAAGATTTAAGGACTGAGGGTGTCCCACCATAACACATCAAGGCTGACAGGTTATTTTCAATAGAAAAATAATACATTACAGTTTGCTTCCCGGCTGTACTCGAGAACACCAGAAGAGCAGGCCAAATTGCTGACTCGAGGGAACTTCAGCTACACAACCTCCATGACAAAGCATCCGCCGTCGCTGTGAACATGACCTTTAACTTCGTGGAAGGCACTCTAGTGAAATTGATCACCCGTCCACTCTGCCATCCAGGCCACGGACCATGCGATTTGAACAAGCTAATTTACGACCTTTGAAGATGCTGTCGCAGCCTGCCAAAAGCACTAAATACAGTGCGTGATACCGAGTGGCTCCAGTGCCTTCTGGATTTTTTTTAAAGTTTGGGGCGTTCTATGCAATGCCAGAAAAAGATCTTCAATAGCTGTAATAGTTGGAAAAAAAAATATCTTCAATCGCGGACGAATGCTTCGAACGTTTTTTAAGTGACCCACTTGCCTTAGTGCATATTCCACATAACATTCATTGTAGCGTTGTTTCGATACCTATTGCAAGATAAAAATATCCGCTTTACAGAAATGCCTTTTAGAGGGATTCACCAAACACGTGAAGTTTCTGAAGTTTTTTTATTTGGCGAAGAACAAACCACCACTAATCAAAATAAATCAGCTGAGTAGCTCTTTTTTTTTTCAAAATTTGCTACAAATAATAAGGACTCGGTATAACTGCAGCCGCCAATTTCGAAAACACTACTTCCCTAGAACATGTAATCAGAAAGGACCAAGTTCAAGCGATTAAAAAATACATTGCTAATTCTATAGTGCTGCGTTTTTACTAATTTTTCTATTTTTATGTAATTTTTACCTGATTTGATATATCAAAACCGCGCCAATACATTTTGAAAAAACAAAACAAAAGAACTTCCGATTCAAAATAAAATTGTAATTCCGAAGCAGTAAATCGAGACCATTAAAAACGTGGCCACTTGAACCTGTTTTAATATTTATTTTTTTACAAGTTTCTTACATCCGCCTATTTCTTCTCTCTCTATTCAAATCAATTCCATTTCAGGCAAACCCAGGTAGCCGCTTGGCAGGTAGTTGTTTGAGATTCAAGCACCTCTGAATTTACGCTCCCCCCCCCCCCCCTTTCTTTATGCAAATTACCAGAGGCGCGTGATGATCGTCGCATTAATAACACGTCCTGCCATTTTGACTCAGTGTCCTCTTTTCGCGCTCTTCATTTTCCTCTCTAGCTCGTCGCTCGAGGCGCTGTTCACATCAAACATTTTCGTACGCGGAAATGCCATCGAGCTCGCTCGAAGGACGCCCCAATGCCGGGCTGTACTCCATTCACAACCTAAGCTGGCACTGCGATGGGAGCTACGCACTCGCCGGGCCAATGGACCGTCCCCTCTTCATTCACCGACCCTGCTCTCTGCCGGACGGCATGGACAGAAAGTGATCACGTGGCGAAAGCCAGACGTATGAGTGGTCCGTCGAAGCTCGCAGCTTCCACCGCACAATCAGCTTAGGGCTGATGGACGGTTTACGGGCGCGCATTAAAGGTCACGTCGATGTCGATTGCTTCCGAAGGTGTTTTCGAGCTGCCACGCTCGATAACCGACGCAGACGAGTTACGCTGGGGCTGGCCCTGAGACCCCCCCCACAAAGCGTGGCGCTTTACGCCGCAGCAGGGAGTCTTTCCTGCCTCCTTCGGCTTATTGAACACGACAAGGACTACGTATCCCCCCCCCCCCCCCCCCCGCGCCCCCTCAAACGTTACCGCTATGCTGCCTCGATGTCTACCCATTATGTTTCAATCAGAGCCTTTCAGAGCTCGGCGTTCTGACGTCACCACAACCCCTGCAAAAGAAGCAGACGAACTTGCGCTGCTCCGCATTGGATACACACAACGCTGCCTACCTTGCGTTAGCGTCGCCGCAACGTGTCTTGCGGCGTTTCACTACCAGCGCGACGTTAGCAGGCGGCGTAGCCAAAACGGAAGCCACTGCTGCTTTGCGTAGACTGTGTACGAGCTCTAGCGTGCTTGCCGCACGGGTCCGGGATCAACTAACGATGACGTCGTGCTGAGGCCTTGTCTTCTTTGGGATATTGGATTGGATCGCAACAAACGCTATCGAACCATCGCAACCAATGCAGCGCTGTGAACAGATCACGGGACCACGGTTCCCGCGCGTCGCTGCGTCTCTCCCAAAGGTCACGTGACACTAGCATGGTATGGTTTTGCATTGGTCCGGTGTCTCGTAGCGTCCACTGCGATCCATCCTAAACCCAAAACAGAGTATAGTATAGTCGCTCCAAGGAATTCGAAGAAACATGTCTAGCCTTCACGCTAATAAACAGGCGTGGTCATTTGTCTCGTCGTTGCATTTGTTAAACTGTGCTCGGCGATAAAATCTGTAAATGACGTCTCACGTAAGAATAAAAAAGCAAGCGACAGGTTCATATATAGGGGAGGGGGGGGGAGCTATCTATCACAGTAATATCCCGATATATAGGCTTCCTGAAGTCGAGAGTAAATCGGGTGAGTGCATTTTCGGTGTGCTATCAGAAAAAGCGTAATAACTTTTATTTTTGCATTGTGTGTTCCTGCCAAACAGGTGATCGCGGTATTGGGCAATAAAGCACAGAGGGCGCTACTTTCTTGTTAGCAATGTTCGCTTGTATCCCGCCATAGCTAAGTAACCGCATTTACGCTGAGGTCATCACTCATCCGAACACTACGATTATTGGAAGTGAGCTGTCTTTCATTGTTTACGAACAAAAATAGCAAATCAAGCCAAAAATAGGGGTGGGTTATCTTGCGGGGTAGGCGCATCTCTCATGATATTGCGACATATGCATCCACGTTGAGCCTCTTTAAGGAAAGATTTTCGCTAAATAGCAAACAAGACAATAAACATTGCATCATTACCCTTTATTTAGATGTGCCTAAAGTTTATGTCTGGTCGATTGTTTGCCGACTGTAAGGATGGTGCGGAAAACGTATTTATTAATGTCTAACCATGTGGCCGTATAACTATTGGTAACGATTTTGTCCTAGTCATTTGTGTGATACAATCGAGAAGTAGTTCGTGTTTGATAGTTTCTTTTGAACAGTATCGATTTGAAAATATTGTGTGTTTCCTCGCCTTGCCATCCTGCACTAAGTGCCAAATTCCAAGTTACAGCGCTTTGGATGCATGCGCAGAGTACTATATATATTTTTGACTGGATTGGGCAGGGGTGGGACTCAATCCCCAACCCGGTAGACGAACTGGTATACCCCAGGAAATCAATTAGAAGAAGGTTTTATAGTTGAAGCTGTCTTTATTTCAAGCGAGAAAAGTTTTGATTAGAGTAATATGCCTCTAATATTTAGTTTAAAAAATAGATGATTGCGCGGAGCTTTAAACATTACGTCCCGCACAAATGGTTTCAGATCTTAAGAGCATTCAGATCGAGGATCACGAGACCGTGCACCCCACTCAAATTTTAGGGAATGCAAACACAGCTCGTAATCACAGACATTGTTATGCGACACCTCCTTGCGAGTTTTATTTCTGTATTTAGTAGTCCTGTGTACATTTTTTGGGGGAAATGACCCGACAAATGGCGATGCCAGCTATACATTTTAAACAACCAAATAAAACTGAACATGAAGTTTCATATATGCTAGGATTCATGACGGGAAATTCGCGCCTACAGGTATCCTGGTCCTCGCCACTTGTGGCACTTTTCAGTGCAGAATGCATTCTAACGGAAGCGAAATTGGCGCTGTGTTCAAATCTTCTTGCGACGCCGTCACCGTAGCCCCAATGGCTAAATTTAGTGGAACGCCACGTGACTCGTATACCATGGGCCCTGTGGTCCCGCGTCAATAGAGGTCACGTGGTTCGCGTGAGCACGTAAACGTGGGCCCTGTAGTCCCGTGTCAATGAAGGTCACGTGATCACGTTAGCACATGACCTGCGCCATGTAACACCAAGGCACGTGATGTCACGGAGTCACGTCGCGGTGTCGCGTGACTTGACGTTACGTTGCACCACGAGATGGCACCCATCGTTACTATATCTAATAACGTTGTTGGCACCGTGACATACCGTGACGCTACAACTTCGCACCGTGAGTCACGTGATCTTACATCCAGCTGACACGCTGCTCAGATTTCCATATGCGTACATCCCTAATACACTCTGCATATAGGACATTTGGACTGCAGATCAAAACTTTGCATTATTTTTTTTTTCACATGTTATGACAAGTGCTTTTTTGAGGACTCTGAAAGCGGACGGGCGGTCACATCGCCTAAGAAACTTGACCCTATTACAACAAAAATACTCTTGTGAAATCTCAGCATGGCAACCGGCGTTTCGTATAAAGACATTGAGGAAGAATTCTTCATCAATGTCTCTATACGGGTCCAATCCGCGTCCAAAACATTACTGAGAGAGCTTAAGCTCTCTCAGTAATGTTTTGGACGCGTATTCGAGGCTCCCAAAGAGTTCCTTGAGTTATTCCAATTAAGTTCTGTGACCTTTGTGCTTCGTTTAGACATAGTACGTTACGGACTGCGCAATAACATTTCAATCAACCTTTCTCTGACTGAAACCCTGTATTCTCACTGGTCACGCCAGTGGTGGACGCGTCTGGGAAGATCCCGACCGGCTTCTCGGACGGCAGTCTAGCCGAGCTGGGGGACTTCGACATGTGCCTGAGGGCGGCCGTCAAGAACTCCCTGGGCGACGTCCAGTTTCGGGGTCAGTACTGCAGCCTGACCCTCAACTTTCCGCTACCACCCAAGCCGCCCATCATCCGCTACGGGGTGCCAGTGGTCGACACCACCAGCTTTGCCGACGACTCGGTGAGACGCTTCTATTTCCCACCAAAAGTCACTTTCTTGGTTTTTACTTTGTTGATGTGGTATACCATAGTCACTGACAGGGTGAGGACGGCAAGGAAAAGCTTCAGTTGTCCTGCCTCCAGCACGATCTTCCTACTTTCACCAACGCTTGGGTGTATCGTGCACGGGGGAAAAGCATGCAGCGGTCGGACGTTCAACAAACACGCTATGCAGTTCTCACTCTGTAGATGAATATAGCGCATTTAAAAAAATTAAGTTCTTATATAGTTTTAGAATATGTGTTTGTGTTCCGGTAACAATACTCGATAACGATACGATGCAAGCGGGAAGGCGCTGGTGGAGTATCGGGTAATATTATCGGCGTTATTAGAACGATCTGCTAGAAATCCTTACTGACTGTTTGGATCAGGTGTTGCCAAACTGCGGCTTGCGAGCCGCATGCGGCTCTTCGCGGGTCCAAAAGTGGCTCGCGGCTCCCTGGTAAGCATGACTCACCTTTGGTGTCCCCAAGCTAAAAAGATCTCTAGTTTTTCTGTTTTTTTTTTTTTTAAGAAGCTCACAATCTTGGCAATTTTGTACCACACTACGTAAAAACAGCTGGAAATACTTTTCAACATATAGATGTGTCCAGTGGCCTTGTTTCCTTTACTATTATAGAAATAATTTCACACAGTATACGCACAACAGATATCAAGGGCAGTAGCTCGCTAGCGAACCACGCATTCATTTTCGCTTAGCGGTTGAAAAAACGTTCTGCTGCCTGGTATTTTTTATCGTAGTCGACAGATTCTACTTGCCTTCTTTGGAAAAAACTGTTTCCTCCATATCTTTTCTTCTTAAAAGTAGCCGCTCTTCTCTTCTTTTGTGGCTTATTGTTCTTTTGTAGTTTTGTCTGCGGCTCTAACCCCATGTCACCCAGACCACAACTGGTTTAGGTCCAACAGTGCGAACGCCGTCCTTTATTTTATTAGTGCCGGACAACTTAAGCGATCGGTCGATACGAGAACCGCTCACAAAGTGAAGAGCGCAGCCCTAAGTTTGTCTTAAAACTTTCTGTGGCAGTCGCCATATCTTGCCGAATTGACTTTTCCACGAGAGACTGGTTAATCATTTATTTGTAAGTTCTTACTTTTGAGTACCCGCTAATCGTACTTCGCAATCAGTTCATTCATTGGAAGAGCACTAGACTAATGGTTCAACAGAATGCTAATCGCTTCCCTTAAAAAAGGCGCATGGCTCTGTTCGTCTCAAGAGACCAAAAACAAGTCCGGACGTATAGATCAGGCGTGTGCCACACTTGGTATTCTCAATAAACGCGAAACATGAGCAGGGGTATTGTAAATCTTTCTCCTTTTAGAGCGCAGCTCTTAGCCGCCCGTTCCCGGCTTGAGCGGCGTCGGCGTCGCCGTCGCCGTCGCCGTCGGCTTAACCGCGCTGTGCATTATGGGTAAATTTCCCCGCTAAATCTAGCGGAAAAATTTCCCCGCTAAATCTAGCGGAAAAATTTCCCCGCTAAATCCAGCGGAAAAATTTCTCCGCTACATTTAGCGGAAAATTTCCCCGCTAAATGTAGCGAAAAACTTTCCCCGCTAAATCTAGCGGAAAAATTTCCCCGCTAAATCTAGCGGAAAAATTTCCCCGCTAAATCTAGCGGAAAAATTTCCCCGCTAGATCTAACGGAAAAATTTCCGCGCTAAATCTAGCGGAAAAATTGCCCTGCTAAATCTAGCGGCAATTTTTCCCCGCTACACCTAGCGGAAAAAAATTCCCCGCTAAATCTAGCGAAAAAATTTCTCTGGGGGTCACGTGACCCCCCCGAGGTCACGTGATTCCGTAGACACGTGACACCCCCAACGTCACACGACCCCCACGTGACCTTGGGGACGGGGTCATGTGACCCCACCAAGGTCATGTGACCTCAGGTCACGTGACCACCCCTTCCCGGGAACACGTGAACCTCAGTACCCTTCCCTCCTCCTCCTCAAGAGCTGCGCTCTAATTCGGCGTTACAGAGAGTTGTAAACGGCTTTCATTTTTTATCCTATACTCGTCCCCGAATGTGGGCAGAAATGCGTTTACTTGATGTCCTTGCGACACTAATGTAATTATATTTTTTGATAAATTCTCGAGGTCACAGTATAGGTAAGCTCCGGAATTTATTTCGAGGAGAACACTCGCAAATTATCTGCTGCTACTTGATCTCTGTAGTGATCACGAGAGGGATTCTTACCTAACAATAACGCGCCTGCGGTGGTTTAGTTTTACCTTTCGCATAGCGTTCCTGTATTCCCGCTTATAGCAGGCATTAGATTTTACCGATGACAAGACTTCGGCTCTACTACTTCAATCATAGTATCTGAGTGACCCCCACCTTGACGCTGACTTGCTCAATCGCCTTCTTCCAAAAGACCCTTTACAGAAGGGAGCGCCATTGCCTGTCCGCCATTGTTGGAGCACGTACCCTGATCCCATAGGACTCGAGGGCTGCCTCAGCTATCGGCGCGGATTCGGATCCAATCACACGCTTCGTGACCAAGAACTTGCGGCCGCCAATGTTGCTTGATGGACTTTGGAAAAGCGTATATTGCATTCCCACTGAGAGGCCTTAAAGGTGCCCCGATTAGGTTTTTAATATCGCCTAAATATGGCGATAACCCCCTCTGCTGGCTCTCAACATCCTAGAAATGTTTAGATCATGATGATACGTGACCTGATTTCCCAATTAAAGAAAAAATCAATCGAGATCACAACCTACCAATTTTATCTCTGGCAATGGGCGGAGCATGTTCTGAAACCAGGACCACTGTCAGCCAATAACAAGCGAAGAAACCTCGTGCCTCCAATCGGTGGAACCGCGGAATGATATCAAATGCGCGCGGCTCGTGGCCCATGCAGCCCGAACTACGATTCAACCAAGCTCGAGCGCGCTCGAGCGCTCGAGAACTAGCGACCAGAAAAACCACTTACGCAAAAGACAAAAAAAAAAAAAAACATAGTTTGTTGTTTCTCAGACGATTACTGCAGTAGTATGTTCCCTCTATACAAATAATTCACATTTTTTACTACTCTTACTTGCTTCTATGATCTACAACAGTATCTACATTTTGTAATAACAGCGTTTGATATCTCCACGACATGTCGCGTTCTTAGGTCACATGCCGTCCTAGCTGCCGGCACAATGCTCCTTCCATCGCAGGAGATAATTTCGATCTTTTATTGTACTTCGAATAGGGAGATCGGCCGCGCATCGTAATTATTTATGGATTTCAAGGATGCTTAGAGCCGGCAGAGTGAGTTATTGCCATATTGAGACTATCTTAGAAAATCTCCTCAGGGCACCTTTCATTTCCATTTTGGAGGCGTACGGCCGGCTCTACGTACATAAACACGGAAGTTGATCGTACAAATATCTGAAAGTACGGTTTCAGCGAACGATTAACGAACATCCTTCATAAAACTTGCAGGTAGTGAAGGAAACCCTGAACCTGGCCTGGGGCCTGTACACCGCCAAGGTGAGGTTCGGACTCTGCTTCCCCGACCGGTGTCAACCACCTGAACTGGACAGGCTTCTCAGAGCAAGTGAGTGTAGTATAGTGGGATTAACCACAAGATTGCATTGTTCCATGTGTGTACCACGATGACTCAGCAAAAGCAATACAGCTTTTCCTTCAGACTTTAACTGTTTAATTTTTTTTTTTCTGATACAACTTTTGTTTGGCGCGTTTTCTGTGTTCGGTTCTAAGTCGTGCGACGTAATGCCAGTTTATTTAAGCTTCAGTACGGCAAGTCAATCAGCCTTTAATATGTTCCTTCAAGGTAAGCAAGCCCAATGGCGGAGTAGTGTTCAAGATTATCGGACCGTGGCTTGCCGCAAAACGTTTTGGACACGCAAAAGATATTGAAGAATGTTTTCTTGTTGATTGTTCTTCACATCTGCGGCAAAGTTTATGGAGTGCAGTCAGAATATTTTAATCACCAAACTGGGTGTAGCAATATTATCAATCACACTTAATCAACGTGGCACACACTATAATTTATATTATAAAATGTTCCCTCATAGTTCGTATTTCTATTTAATTTTACTGCCATGGCACCGTAAAACCTATCTTAGTTAAAGGCCGACGACCAGACTCAAGATTCTGCAAGGCAGAAGACACTCCTCACCATGGGGGAGGAGGAAACAGGCAACGGTGGACAGGATAGGAGAGGAGGAAGGGAGGTAAAAGTCGAAAGCGCGAACTCGTCACCGATCTTTAACCACTCTACATTTTGGAAGCATATCATTCCCACTTTGAAACATAAGTGAAGCGCAGTGTAGAAACGTTTTAGTCCTACCATATATACGCTGTCGGCCAGTGGTCTCCGACTATCAACCTACCGTATTTAACGAGCATCGCGCATGGTCCTACCAACGTGCGCCGACGCAAATTAATTTAACATTAACAACATAATCAATACAAACGCAACTTACAACAGCTCAGTACTGCCAAGCTGCGACAGTGTGTGAAGTTTTTATTGATAGCTTTTATTTGAAATGAAATAATTAGACTTTCATTGAAAAATAAGTTTTACATGATAGAACGTTAAGTGTGTGTGTGTGTTTTTTTTTTCATTATGGTGTACTTAGAGTTGTTCTACAAAATCACAATGCACCTGCCCTAGAGTCGTTTACCAATTAAAATAATAATCAATTAATATGCGACATTTACTGTATTTGTCTCTTCGTTAATTGTAGTAATGCATAATCTAATGGAGTTTGCAAAACACTTCGGAAAATACGCATTTGCGAATTACAGTATGAGAGGATTTCATAGCCTTGACGCAGGGAAAGAGCGTTTGATGGAGCAATTTTATTGATGTATGGCTTTGTTTGGTAAATTCAAATGCGTACACTGGTGGCAAAATGCGAGGAGATGGCTGGAAAGAAATTTATGCATATTTTTACTGGCGTCATGTCGCCAGTTACTAGGCCCAATTTAAACAATAAAAATTTGTGAGACATCTGTGACGTACACAGGTGTATTTTTTGCCACAAACGGTACACTTGTGACGAGGAGGCTGGAAAAAAGCTGCTAGTTAGCAGCTTGGCGGGTTCCAGCCCCCTGAAACTCGGTGCAGGCAGCACGGCAATACCAAAATATAAAGACATATTATCCACACAAACAAATACATATACATAGTTATGAATATTCAGCTTTACAAATAAATACTAGAATCTGTCAAAATACCTGGCATATTTTAGATTAAGATTTGCCAAAGGGATAATATAAAAAAGCAATAAAAAATAAAAACAAGTCTGCAAATAATGCACCTAAAATCCGGAATAAAAAGATACTCTACATATAATAATGTAAACAATGAGAAAAATAAGACGCGATAGAACACTTGATGGTGTAATAGACGCAGCAGGAATCACAGTCATAAACGTGGCTCGCTGATGATGAAATAGTAAAATATTTAGTGATATAAGCATGAAAGCGATGTGTAACTTTAAAGCCCAGAAATCGTAGTGATACCAGTGAAAGTAACAATAAGCATCAGATAGCTTATGGAAATGTAGAGTCATGCCCTAAAAGGTAGTCTCGAACAAGATTCTTGATTTTAAAGAATGAATATGCAGTTGACAGAACTTTTGTAGTTTGCTCTAATTTTAGTTTTTCGTAGTTTTTGTGCCTTCCTGAGTGTACGACGAAATGCGTAACACGGCGCCACGTTATCTTTTCCAATGGTGCTGCGCTTTGATTTATATATTAACTGGAACGACTTAAAATAATATAGTTTGTCTGCCTTTAATATGTTAAATTTAACAAAAAGTGGTACAGTAGGAAGTTCCTTTCACTTTACCCTTATATTTTCCAATAATCGAAGCACCCTATTTTGCAAAACCAGTAATCTATTGTAGTTAGATGTTGTTGTTGTCCCCCCTACCCATATGTTGTAGCAAAGTTCGGAGTACACAAGAGAACGAAAGAGCAATTATTTTAACCATGTTGGTATCAAGTTTCCTATTCTGTAAATACAACCAACTGCTTGGGATAGCTCTGAGGTTAACCTGCTGATACGGGTGGTTCAGGTTAACTCTTGGAAAAACCATCAGCTCGCCCCACCTTCCTCCGCAGAGGCCGGCCGCGCTGCGCGACATGACTGAAAGTAGAGCATAGAACACTTAATACAGTAGTACAGAAGTACTACTCTATCAAGTACAAGTCTCGCCCACTGATTAAAATCTTGATGCTGCGTTTGACAGCGACGGCGAGAATGGCATGCAGTAGCAACCCCGTTAGGATCCTCATTTTATTTATGAGTCGGTAGAAGAATTAACGTCTGAATAATAATTTAACTGATTAATCGGTAAGTTAAACAATTCATTACACAGTAATTGTCCATCACGAATATAATAAATTACAACACAAACATGTTTACAATTCAAACAGAAGACGCGGCATCTGGCATGGGACTGGCCTCGATTTACGGTCAGCGAACTCTTTTATAAGCTCGGGCCAACGGTGTTGCCAGCCCACATTTCATACAAAACAGACTCATTCATTTCTACTGGGCCATTCCGTGCCAAAAGAAACGCGGCGATTTTTCATGTTTACAATCTGCACGGATAACATCATTTGTATAGAGACACCTTTGAACTCAACGGAAAATGTTTTCTTTTTTTCTTACGTGATTAATATTTTTTTGTTGTTGTTGTTGATAGCATGCTCCACATCTTTGTAGTTTGCATAAAACAGGATGTTCATTTGCATAAATCATGAAGGCATAAACATGTTTTATCTTGCACTAGAACAGAAACACTAAAATACGCCTTTTTGGGTTTCAATAGGAGTTCTAAGTAAGAAACAATTATTTTTTTTTATATTTTAGCCAGCATGAAGTAAGGTGTTAGCTACCATACTTTTTGCCTTTATTGTTTTAAAGCTAACAATTGAATGGCGCGCATAAGAATATTGAAGCCTTGTTTTGCGCGTTTTAATTAAATGAATAAATTCCCAGTTTATGCAGAATTCTGCACAAACTGAGGGCCATATTGAAAGCTAAAAGAACGCAATCTGGGAAACGGTTTTCGCAATTTTGAAAATAGCTAAAAATTCAATCCGCCTCATCTGTTTAACATACCAACGATTTAGAAAAGTACCGCTTGTTGTTGCTAATAGATTATTTTTCAATACGAGCCTTACGTCCTTGCCTCGTTTACGACGCACGCCGGCGTCCGCCAACGAGGAGTGAGCCGTGTCAGACGACGCCGCAAGGCCTTGAACGCTCTGCTAAAAACACTCTTAATTCAGTTGAAGCGGACGTTATCCCGACTTTCATGCATCTTTGTTCTCTAGACGATACGTAGTGATATTGGCATCTTAATTTCCCTCCCCTTCTCATCAAGTGGCATCCGACGAACGCAGGCCTGCATCGTCTGCTTCCCGAGCTTCGGGATGCAGACTGGGCGTAGGCGTCGCCTGTCTAGATATAAGAACAATTCAAACCGGATAGCTCGCAACCGACGCGAAACAATAACGGTGCTGTAGCTTGAACGAAAATGAAAAGAAATTGTTAGAATATGGTGGTGGAAGAAAGCTTTCCACTTTTTGAGGTGGACCCCTGGTGAGTTGACGGTCCGCACATGGGCAGTATTTTAGATTAAGGCATACCCTGGTGGTCAGTGAAACATGCCTCGAATCCTAAAATCACTTTAGAATTTCTAGAATATCTATTGATTCATAAAGACGAGAACACATGTGTGTTAAAATATTTCTTTTTTATGTTTTTTTTTTGTTTTTTTTTATAAAATGTTTAGAGAGGATTAAGTGGTGGTCCTATTCAACTTTCAAATGCACCACAGATATGTGCGTATTAGAGTAACATAAATTGGCTTCCTGCAGTCACTCTATTTAGCCATGTCATAATGACAAGGTACTCAACGCTAATAAGGACAATAGCAAATGATTTCGGATAAAACTTGCAGTGTTTAACTCTAACGTGGATGACGCCGGCGTGCGTCGTCAATGATGCCGGCGCCTGGAGGCAAGGCCGGAGAAACATAAAATAATTTCTCAGCCACAACTAAAAATGCTTTTTTTATTTTTGCTTTGTTAAATAGATGAGGTAGGTTGACCTTTAGGTTATTTCAAAAATTGGGTGAATACTCTAAGAATTGTCTTCACGTCTACTTACCCGCAAAACACTCGAGGAGCCAATCTCTGCTATCAACGAAATCAGCTCAACGAATGATGAGGCGGAACATCTGTTGAGACCTTCAAAATAATATATGCGCTGTGGCATTACGCAATGCAAGCATGACGCTTTGCATTGCGTAAATGGCACAGCGCAGTCTTCATTTCTAAGTCATAACGTACGTTCCGCCTCATCATTCGCTGAGGTAATTTCGTTGATCGCAGAGATTGGCTCTTTGCGTGTTTTGAAGGTAAGTAGACGCGCAGGCATTTCTTAGAGTGAACCGTTGCCTCTATTGTTGGGTTTCTTTTTTTTAATTTTTGCGGTTGGGAAGTGCATGTATGTGTCTGTGTGTGTGTGTGGGGGGGGGGGGGGGGCTTTTCTGCATAGACTCAGAATTTTGTAATATAATTAAAGCACAACGGAACCAGGCTTTAAATTTTTAAAACAAGCAATTCTATTATTTGCGTTAAGAGAACAAAAAAAGGGGATTGTAGCTAACATCCGGCTCGAAGTTGGGTAAACAATACAAAAGAAATCTCGAAATCTATCTTCATTTTGGAGCTTCTATTTGTACTAAAAATGCCATCCTTCCGTGGTTTTTTGTTTTTTTGTTTTTTTTTATTTTAGGGCAATATACCTTATGCTAGTGACTAATTAGGCGCCCACATAAATGTTTATGGTATGCAGAAAGTTTTTTAGAGATTTTTTTCTTTCAAAACTACATCAGGTTTTATGAAAATTAAACAAAAATTGAAGCATGATATCAGCAAAAGTAAAATTCAAAAATTAATTTTTGCACATAAAATACTTTTTCTTGAGATCAGAGGCGTCTTCATCCAACTTTTTTTTTTCATGTCTATCTTAAGCACACAAATATCGCCGCGTCTCTTTGGTATGGAAGGACACTCCCGGCATTTTGATGGCGTTTGATTTTGCCAGCTGTACAGTAACCAAACCGTTTATTCACGTTTACCAAGTGCATAAAGATTTTGTATATCAACGAGTCCTGCTGGCGCAAAGCACTGTTTCACACTGAATTAAAGTGGCTAGAATAGTATCCACATAAAACCAGAAAGCACTCTGTTTTACTGCCCACCACAGCTCTACAAATTCCTCTTTTTACTGCATCGGTCAAGGAATTAGTAATAAATTAGTGATCTCATTCATAAATCAGTATATTAATTAATGTATTACCTTTGCAACTATAATCTTCACTCGTTTCAGTCGCTGAAAAAGCACATCTCAATTCAACTCTCCTGGGCTGCGTGGTGGAGGAGAACCTACGGTTGAACAAGTCCCAGATCATCGCAATGTAAGCAATCACGCCGCATTGTCTGAACATCGGCCCACTGCGGCCATTTTATATCTTGTGTGTTTCAACTTTTTTTGTATGGAACAACTAAAATGACGCTGTCGCTTTGCTGATTACTGTAACAGCTATATTGATAACCGGAAACTCAAGGCGCCTCTCAGATGAGCCGTAACTTCAAAATGATTTCTGGCTCGGAACTATTAGTTACAAATGTGCAGTTCATATTTTCTGAAATCCTCCTACAAAGCCGTGTATTGTGCCGCTTCTTGTTACTTAAGCACAATAATCTAAGCGGCAGAAATGTGACAACAAAAACCTAGCTGACATTACTCACCTTGCCTGGGAAAGTAATTAAAATACACTTTTATATATATATATATATATATATATATATATATATATATTAATAATAATAACCCGTCTGGCCTAAACGATATTTCATAATAAAGGCACCCAGGAATGACACGGGCTCTGGGCGCACTGTCTCTGTCCCAAGACCTCAAACACTATTATACTGCTGTTTCTTAAATAAAAATTTACCATTATAAATGCCCTTTATTTTTTTATATATGTAATATACGGGAACATAATATACAAGAAAGTTATTTCGCTTAGTTTCACGGCATTTCAATATTCTCACTACACGTAAAATAAGCTAAACATTCGCCAGCTCGTTCGCGCCCTAACTTTTTGTTCACTAAACCATTGTCGTAAGCAACATACGGTAATGCGTATTTGAGAATGAATACCTGAGGCATAATAAATTGGTTCATAAACAAACTTTAAGCGTATTTGACAGCCTAATGCCTCAATGATTGCCACATTAAGTGACTGTTGATCGTAGTTCTATGTAATATCACCAAATTCACCTGAGCTTCAATCTAAGCCCAAACTTTTCTATCGAAAGGAACCTTCATGTCATATGGAACATCCCCGTGGCTGCCTATCAGAGCTCTCCATCTGCCGATGTTCGTCATCAATTACTTCTCTGACGTTCTAGCAGGAACTCATTGACGTTGAAATTGGCCAACAGTTAGCTTAGGCAGTCAATAGGTATGTCGATTACATGCACGGGTAAGTCCTGCAGACTGTAGAAAACAAAAAAATCATCCTCCACTTAACCTGGAGCTTGTGCATGTTGTGGCCCAATCTATTCGCCTCTAATTGCACTCTGCAAGACGCCAGAAAGAAACAAGGACGTCCTTTTTGTTAAAAGTTATCTTTAAACGTATTAAGATACAAGGAGGCTTAACCAATATCTATGCTGGTCCTTTAACATTTCTTTGTTTATAAAACTCTGCTCGTCCTGCTGGTATTTGTAACAAAGATATTAAACCGTAATTTACACGAAAAGGAATTTACAAATTGGGAGTTTTTGTTTAACCCTCCAAAGCTTTCCAGGTATTTTTCATTATCATATTGGGAGGGTCTGCACATCTATGAGGCCATTCATTAGTTTATCTGTCATCAGATATGGTGAAGAAAAAAACGCATTGTAGGATAAAACGGTACTGATCGCTAATGCTGTGGTCACATGCCTAATTTTAATGAAAGGAAACTCGCTATCCAACATTTAAGCAGGGGGAAAATATGCTGGAATCTGCGGAGTATATATCGGTGATTCAAGTGTGAACGAAGAGTGCCTATGAAGATATATATTTATTTATTTATTTACGTACCTTAAAGGCCCATTGCTGGGCATGACATAAGGGGGGACTGTTCAAGTAAAAACACAAAGAATACATAGAAGATAATGCTGTGATGGATGGATGGAAGAATAATTTTATAGACAACAGGGGCACTTCAGTTAGTAAGAAAAATCACAGTAAACACATGAGCACAAAGAGTGACAGTGTCACGTCAGTGAAAATCTTGAATTATGTACGACACAAGAACGACAAATAGACATTCCTGAACGTTCACAATCCTATGTTAACACGGGACAACATATGAGGACGCCAGAACTGCAAACTCTCTCCAAAATTACCAGGATCACTGCCGGGATACGGCAAAGCAAAACTTTATTTAACAAAATTTGACAAACGATATCGGAACACTCCAGGATCAACGATGGCAACAATGTCCTCGGGCAGGGAATTCCAGGCTCTAATGGCTTTAGGTATGGCTCAATTGTTAAAGGAAAATGTGGACCCCGATATTCGGCGAACGGACCGGCTGTTGTTTGTGCGAGAGGACGCCCTGTGAGGCGGTTGGATAAAAGGGAGCTCCTGTACTCCCTGGCTGGAGAATAGTTTGTGAAACAAACACAAGAGGGAGATCTCGCGAGGAGAAGCTAATGGAAGCAGACCAATATCATTTTTAATTAAGGATGCGCTGTCGTACCACAAATAAGATGACTCAATAACCTGGCTGCGCGATTCTGTACCCTTTTAATTTGGTCCGTCAAGTATCTCTGATAGGGGCTCCACACTGACGACGCGTATTCTAATTTAGGTCTGACGTAAGTCTCGTATGCCAGCTTCTGAATATTGGGAGGTGCAAGTTTTAAATTTCGTTTTATGGAGCCTAGCGTACGTGATGCATTCGCTGTAATTGCCCTGATATAAGTGGACCAGGAAAGGTCCTCAGCAAGACAAATTCCGAGGTATTTGTAGTGGGGTGATTGTGTCAAGAGTTTATTGTTCAATGAGTATGGGAATGAGGATACGATTCTTTTACGAGTGAAGATGACTCTTTTATATTTGGAGACGTTGGGGAGCATGAGCCACAGTCTACACCAGACGTCAATAATATGCAAGCCCTGTTGCAGAACAAGGTGGTCGTCGTTTGACTTGATTTGTCTGTATATTACGCAACTGTCAGCAAATAAACGAATCTGTGATATGACACGGTTCGGAGGATCATTGATATAAATCAAGAAGAGAAGTGGTCCGAGTACGCTGCCCGGTGGAACACCCGACCCCACATCAATCACAGGTGAACTAGAATTACCGATAACAGTATACTGCTGCCGATGGGATAAAAACCCGCAAATCCAGGAGAGGACCTGTGAATCAAGATTTAAGGACGAAAGCTTTGTCGAAAGTCGACCGTGCGGGACCCGATCAAAAGCTTTCAAAAAGTCCGAGAAAACAACATCAGTTTGGGTATGGTTGTCCATATGGGAGTGAATGTAGTGAGTGAATTTGAGTAGTTGCATATCACAGGAATGCCCCTTACGGAAACCGTGTTGGTGCTTAAAGAATAAGACGTTGAGCAAGAAGTGTGACATGACGTGAGTATATATTACATGTTCCAGAAGCTTACATACAACACTGGTAAGAGAAATGGGCCTGTAGTTAGAGACGTATCTTTGATCCTCATCTTTGTGTACTGGAATTATCTTTCTAATCCTCAAGTTGTCCGGAATTTGACCTGTGGGTAATGATTGGTGAAATACTATCTCAGTATCTGGCTGCAAGTTGACAGTGTTTTTTTTTAGAATCTTCATGTTAATGTCGTCGTGACCGGCTGATGCTGACACCTTAGCGGTTTTGATCATATTTGAAATGCCATTAGGCGAGATTTTTATTGGATCCATAGGGGAGTAGCCGGCCTCACTGACCACCGGGGGGATGTCTGACAGGACCTCACTCGTAAAGATAGATGCAAAATAGTCGTTAGGTAGTAGCAGTGAGTTCGTCAGGCACTGCATTGCCGTTTTCATCCGAATGAATAACGCTGCAGGAGAACTCGTTTGGAAACATTATTTGACAAAATTTTTTGGGATAATTGCACAGCATAGACGGTAAGCAGTGCGTATAAATTTTTTTTTTTGCTCGTTTTATGTTGTTGGTGTACAGAGTGGCGCAGGCCTCATACTTCTCCCGAGCAGAAGCACTACCTGATCGCTTTGCGCTCGACATACAATCGTTTCTTTTTATAATTTTTTGAATATGCGTATTGTGACTTTTTCAAGATTTTCCATCAATAAGTTCAATAAAGAACTCATCGTTGGACTTTATCTTGTAGCTTTGCTGCTTGGAATGTGAATTTTTATCTCGATATTTGAATGAAATATGCGTTTCGACATTGAAAGAAGCAGTTTGTCTGCAAGTATCACTCATTTTTAAAGTCAATCACGACCAATTGTTTTGTCAATTTCTCATTCTTACTGCTTAGCCTCTACCTGGATTTGTGAAAACCTAAAAGATAGAACGGAAATTGAAAACCTAAATAATTGAACCTTTACACAGTAAAAAACTCAGATAATTACTGTAGTGTTTTTCCAACAGGCCAACCACGAAACCTCGTGAGTCGTAAGCGTGAGCTTGAGCACGCTTACACGGCCTCGATGAAATTTCCTTCGTCCAACATTCTTCGAAAGAAGGCTTCCATCTGCACACAATGAAAGGATGGTGTCGCAATGCTGTAAGACTTACGAAACACGGCCGCTAAGAGAGACACGTTCGCGCAGTGTGTTTGCGTTAAAGTGACGACACTTTGAGAAAGCGCGTATACTCGCTTTGATCGTAGGGCACTTGAGAATCGTTGTGAGTACGCACTGTTCCTCCCAATTGCGTCCACAAACCGCAGACGTGTCAACATTTGGACGTGGAGATTAGCTAAGACCTTCAAGTTCTGGCATGCCACTTCAAGAGCATCAGGTGCCTGCATCGTTCCCTTTTCAGCGCCGTCCTTGGCTGCTTCATTTGCGTCGTGCTTTCGGCCACCGCTTTTGACATCCTTCTCGGCTGTCTCCGAGGGCACAACCTTTTCGATGAAAAGACAGGTAAGTGAGAGCTTGCGAGTTTCTGAAAAAAAAATGTAAAGATTCAGTGACTGCACCTTTTCTTTTCTCTTTACTCTCTCTCTCTCTCTCTCTCTCTCTCTCTCCTCTCTCTCTCTCTCTCTCTCTCTCTTTCTACTTTTGTAAACTGGCGGAAAACAAACGAGTTGACGAACCAACGTCCCATTAAAGGTTATGTTGGATCGAACACGTGTCCGACTTTCGCATATAGCGTGGCTTTAAAACTCGTCTCTCGTGCTCCGCTTGATGGCGTCGTAGAAGTTTCACGATCTTGTGCGTCGCGATCCTGGCGATGCATAGGAGCAGCCAGGTAGATACAGCAGACGGCTGTACCACTGCAGGTCGCTCTGTGTCCCGACGGTGGACCAAAGCAGACAGGAGTTGGGATGCCGCGACGACAATGACCCTTGCGTCCGCTCACATTGCTTTTGCCAGTATGTTTATAGACAACAACGCTGTTTACAAACAAGCCCGCCTTTGTTTGCGCATACCAGGTGTTGGGCACTGCGCGTGCGCAGAAACCGGATTCGGGTGTGAAGAACTGTCTGCGCATGCGCGGTACCACGCAGCGGCGTGACGTCAGAGTTGAATAGGTGCACACTAGGGTCACGTGTGTTTTCGGGGGGGGGGGGGGGGGAGGCTTGATTTCGGATGTCTATAGGGGGCGGTTTTATCACACATTCGGTATTTTTCGGCGTTTATATTTGATGTCAACAAAGATCGGTGTTTATTGGGGATTATGATGAATAAAATGAGACACGGGGGCATGGCATTCTCCAATATTCCAAGGAATATATACGGTACCCGAGTACTTAAAGAAATGTCCCTTTTCTGAAAAGAAAATGAAACAGGAAAAGAACCGATGTTCCGAAGCAAAAAGAAACCTCGCATCCAAATGGCTGTGGGCTGTGTTCCGAGTTAACACAAAATAAATTTGTAAGAAAAAAAAATATTTTTCCTATTGAAGCTTTGTTTTTTTGTTGTTTTTTTAATTATTAAAATATAGTTTGAACACTTGGTGGGGAGGGGGGGGGGGGGAGGTGTAGGGGTGGGAGTTGTTTTTGGTCAAACCGGCTCGGGGGTTAATTTTTAGAATTAATCGGTATTTACCGAAACCACGAAACCCTATTTATAACCAACCTCCAGAGGCCCTAAACTCGTCAACCACAAAGTTGAGGGCGAAGTTGACGGAGCGCACCGATTGGGCAATCACGACGATGACTTCGCATTTTTGTCGCCGACGTCCGATCGGCGCGCGCCGCGAACTTTCGGCTAAAACTTTGTGTTTGACGAGTTTAGGGTCCCAGGATAGCGAAAGCGGACGGAATGACAAGAAGAGCCTGCATTACAGAGAATGCCCAAGTGACCGATAGGAGTCACGTGGTCTATGGACCCCGTTTGCAACGCGAGCTGTGAGGAGGCAGCAGAAGCGTTTGTCGCCTGCCAACATCTCCGCCTTTCCGCCTGCTTTCCTCTTCGCCACGTATCCAACGCGCACTTGCGCACATCCTCCTCGCGACCAATCCTCGATTTCCGCCACAGGCGTCCGCCATTAAGTTCCAAAACGCTCCCTGTGGTTTCAAATGAACCCTCTCTTCAATCAAGGCCCTCTAGAATGACACACCCGCTCCCGACGTGCAATTTGTTGCCACTTGGGGACACTTTTTCGACGCATGAGATGGATAGGACGATATGCTGAAGGCGCGCGCTCAATATAGGTACCGTAATCGAAACTGCTCCCGAAGTGGCAACAACTGGCGTCACAGGAGCCATCGCGTCATGCTGTCCGATGCCGCGATCCTGGTAATTGGTCATAAAAGTTCCGGTAAAAGAAGAAAGAAAAGAGGCCAAGCAAGCGTGAGTTGCACTGTCGTCGCAGTGTCCCAACTCCCGCGGCTGCTGAATGTCTCGGTAGAGTGTGAAGTGACCTGCGATAAAGGAGGCGTCTGCCGCATCTACCTCCGTTGCTGTATGAACGTCAGGATAGCGGAAAGCCAGATCATGGTACTTTTTATGACGTCATCAGGCGGAAATCGGATGACTTTTCGGGTACGCGTTCCAGGCACCATAGTTTTAAGTTGAGTTTATCGAACACCAGCCATCAAATAAAATTAACTGAACGCTATTTTTTTATTAAAAAAGAAAAAAGAACTTGGTTTAGATTAAAGCGGCGTGCGAACTTTATTTAACATAACTATGTTTAACGAAATACGGCTTAGACATGTAAAGACGTGGATCTTGTGGAAAAAGTTACATCCGAGCGTAGCCAATGTTGATCTAGTATATACCGACTCCAAGTGTAGCAGTTCCTCCTGATCCCTGTTCATTAAACCGTCGTCTAACAAAACTCCCACTCCATAAAACAACTGCCATTCGCGGCAACAAATATTTCATCCATCGCATTCTGCGCCAGCCGATACCACGAGGGCACCACCATATTTCGTGCCCCAGTAGGCTTGCGGCAGTGTATATGTCTGATCTCCCGCAAGGCATGGCGATCAATGCGAAGGTCAATGCCAAGAGCAAATCGTCTGCTTCTTGCGCGGGAGTAGCTGTGACGTCAGAAAGACGCCGAGCTGTGATTGGCCCTGATTGAGGAATAGTGGGTTGACTTGAAGGCAAGCTGCCTTGAGGTCTACCCACTATCCTTCATTCAGAACAAATCAGAGCTCGGCGTTTTGACGTCACCGCAATTTCTGAAAAAGAAGCAGACGAACTTGCACTCCGCATAGCTTTTCGTCTACCCACTAGTCCTTCTCGAACTCGGCTCTCTGGCGTCCCCGCGCGCTCTGATATCCTCCTCTCTCTCAGTTTATGTCCGCATAGTCCCGGAAATTGTGAGAACGGTAGGGCATTTCCTTCGAATGCCTTCCGCCGTGCTTCGGCTTCGAGCGTGCACGCTCGAGAGCTCACGAGACGCCGGACCGTTATAGAAGGTATACGAAGCTGGCGCTGGATGCGGGGTAACTGAAAGATCTTCTTGCGTTCTTACCTTGTCTGTGACCCTAAAGAGGCTAAAGAGGGCGCAACTCCATTTATGAAATGCGTCTAAATTTTAATGGCGGACACCTCGTGCGCAGGCACACTTCGCGACACTTTTAACGCAAACAAGTAATCGTAAGTTTCATTTTTTTTTTTTTCTTAGAATGAACAAGTTTTCATTAAATTTACTATAGTGTGGTTTGGAGTTCTCGATTGGGGCACCGACAAAGGTAGTGAGATTTTTTGTTCGCAAGTACACTTTTAGAGTAAACTAGAAAAGAAAAAAAAAATGGCCCGAGTTTTTTTCCTGCTATCATGGTCCCACAGTGTTCGTTGTTAGTGTTCATGTGTGTTTTGCCGCGTGGTGATTAGGTTAGAGGGAGGAGAGGCTGAGGAAACTTTGAGACGCTTACAGACGATTGACACCCTCGCCTCTTCCTCGCCCCTTGTTCTTCAAACGCGGCCTATAAATCACGTGACACGGCTCGAAAGCATGGAACCGCTTTCAAATATATGCGCACTATTCCAAACAAAAACGAGCGAATAAAACGGCGATTGATGGGACCCTTCCCTTCGCGTCGCTCTATTCGGGCGACTATTTAGCCCGGGCGTACTTATTCTGAGCAGAATGTTCCTTGACGACTCCCAGTTTGAAGGGCCGGAAATTAAAAGCCCAAACTGGTCCGAAGAAATCCAGAATTACCTTGCGTTTTGGCGCATGCATATGATCGCTAATGGTGGTGCTACGTTCACTGTAAGATCAGTACTGGTCATATGTCAAGTTCGAGAATGAGGTCGAAGTTAGGCAGGAAGAACTTGCATGGAAAACCCGTCATTTAGACCTTAAGACAACATAAAAATAGAGAAGGCGTAAGAAGGTCTAGATTTGCACATTTCTGGTATTTTAATGTAGTGTAGATTCAGTGCAAGTACATAAGAAGACTAAAATAGGCTGGATTTCTTATAGCAGGGATCTCAAACACGCGGCCCGCGACTCTCCGGGAGGCGGCCAGCAAGTGTCCCAGGGCTGTGATCTCCTGTTCGTACGCCTCAAGCGCTGCATGCTTCATAAATAATGATTTCTTGTCGTCCATTTATTTCCCCTAGAAACGTAGCTCTGCTCTTTTGGCGTTTTAAAATCGTGAGACTAATCTATTTTCTTCCAGATTGAGGTCGGTTTCGTTTTACATAACGATTAGACACTTTTTTTTAAATTTTGCTATAAAAATTGTTAAGAAACCAAAATCTATCTTACGAAAATATTATTTTTAGACAGTTTGAACTCTGATACTTCCCGAATGAATTGAGTGACAGTCACGACTGTGTGCTCTGTTCCTAGTTGTATTGAGAAATTCCAGCGCGTTACCTGGATGGGGGTCTTTTAAACCTTGTGATCACACTAGGTACAAACCCGAAGTTGCAGTTGTACGAATAAATCAAAGCTTAAGAGGGAACTGATAAAACGGCTTTATTACAAAAAGCAAGTAGCGCGACGTCCCTTCTTTTGGAAATCTCTGGGTGTCGCCGAAAGTCTCGGCTGCTTTCCAACGTGAAACACCATCATTGTTGTCGTTGTTGTTGTTGTTGCTTTCTTAATATACATTAACCCTCTCCCCCCCCCCACCCTTTCTCCTCTTTATGCTGGCCCTCGTCATTTTGGGGGTGGGCTGCATGACCCCCCCCCCCCCCCCCACACACACACACACTCAAATCAGTTTGAGACCCTTGTTCTATAGCAGCAATTAAGGTACATTTATCAACTTTGTGGCTTGTAATGGGTATCTGGTACAAATGTAGCTTGCCTGGTGCTCATGTTGTTTTATGTTTTTGCTTCTATTTACAACTAGTTGTTTTCCCACGCGCGACGCTCCGGTGGCTTGTTAGTTTACTAATGGCTTCCCAATATTGCTAAATATAGTAATGCCTAAATGTGTCGCTAGCAGATATATTCTTACTTAGCTTCCTACCATATTGTAACTTCCTAGATTTTTTTTATCGGTGGGTACCACCAAACTACTGAAATTTCTCTCAGTACATGCCAACAGCGTAACGCCGAATTTCGAAATCGTTTATATCACACGTTTTTTTTTTTTTTTTTTTTTTTTTTTTTTTTTTTTTTTTTAGGTGAGGCTACCAAAGCCTTCATTTCCCTCTCAGTGCCCAGAACAACAGCGGCTGTGTTTCGAGCCGAAAGCTCCAAGTCGATCCTGAAATGCCTGAACGGACTCAGGATTTTCGGCGTATTCTGGGTGATTATGTTCCACACCTACACATACCCGGACATGGGAACTTACAGTAAGTAGTCATCTCGAAATAACTGTGCTCTTTATTTTCGGGAAGCCAAAACGAGCAGTGAACGTTTTCTCGGCACAATACTGAGCGCAACTCTACAATTGGATTGAAAGTTGTCTCTCAGATCGCACCATTTATATGACCACACAAGATGGAGACACGTCAAACCATTTCATCTCTCGGGGTGTACCCCAGGGAGGCGTGTTAAGTCAAACCCTATTTAATATCACGCTTATCAGGCTCGTGCAGTCGTTGACACCAAATGTAAATGTATCCTTATACGCAGACGATATCTGTATATGGGCTTCTGGCTCCACTCGCGTACAAGCTAAAGCCAGAGTACAATTAGCTTTAAAGAAAGTTCACAGATACCTTTGCGTCCGTGGCCTTGAAATCTCCCCTGCCAAATCTGCTGCCATTGCATTCACTCGAAGGAACATGGACCGTTATCCACTTCGCATTTTTAAACACACAATTTCATACGTCAAAAGTCACATATTTCTTGGCATATATATTGATAAAGGACTAACTTGCACCCCGCATATTAATTACTTAAAACGAAAGCTGGTGAGTTTCATTGACCTCTCCCGCTTCATTAGTGGCACTACGTGGGGAGCGTCAGTGCGGGCGTTGCTACGTCTCTATCAGGCTTTATTTATTGGTTTGCTTAGGTACAGCCTTCCAGTTATCAACGGCATGTGCCGTACAAACTTAGGCACACTTCGAAGCCTTCAGGCGCGCGCTCTTCGAGCCTGCCTTGGGCTTCCAGCATGTGCGTCAACAATTGGAACTTTAGCAAAAGCACGCGTTATTCCTATAAGCATCCTGCTCATGCAGGAAACTCTAAGGCTTCATTTAAGACACTTAACTCAGCATGAAGATCTCTCTCTCGCCACCATAGAATCTGCACGTCCAAACTAGAGCTACTCCAAGGCGCTGTCCCAGGTACGGCGATACTTGCCGGGAGATCTTACACAAGCCACAGTTTGCACGACGCCTCCGTGGAGATTTCCTGAACCAGATGTCAAACTTGATATTCCTGGTATCAAGAAAAAATCAAATATGCCAATGGTCGTGATTTTACAGGTTACTATGTCCCATATTTACGGTAAGCATCTCTCAAGAACACATGTCTACACCGACGGCTCATGTACCTCTGATAGTTCTACTTGCTGTGTAGTCATTCCAAGTCACTGTAGAACCGTGCGATTCAAGCTAAGCCACATAACTTTATCTACGATGTCAGAGCTAGTGGCAATTCATCAAGCACTTCAAATCATCTTGACACAATTGCCCCACTTGTGGACAATATTTTCTGACTCCAAGCCGGCCCTCCAAGCAATGTCAGCATTTTTGCGACGCGGTCAAAATAACCAAGTGGTTTTCGAAATAATGACCCTTCTTATGCAGTGTTTGGATTTAGGACACACTGTCCAGTTTCAATGGATACCAGGTCATTGTCGTTTACCTGGAAACGAGGCTGCAGACGCAGGTGTGAAGTCAGCCCATTCTCTAGATGCAACTATTACGATTCCGTATTGTCGGAATGACATTAGATGCCTTATCAATCGTCACGCCACCAGCGCAAGGAGAAATCTATGGCACGATGTCTCCCACCACTATGCTACCCTCTATGCGTTGGACCCAAATCTTACCTTTCAACTTCCACGTGATCTTCCCCGGAGGACAGAAGCAGTCATACATCGCCTCCGGCTCGGTGTCGCTTATACACAGTCCTTCCTTCACCGCATCGGGCAAGCCAGAACATCGGACTGTCCAACGTGTGAATGTGATGAAACCATTGCTCACCTATTGTGCGACTGCAAAATCTACGACGCGGAAAGAGAACACCACAAGAGTACGTTGGTGCAACTAGACAGCCGACCGTTTTCTGTCATGAAAGTGCTCGGAACCTGGGACAGCCCTCAGAATGCAGCGAGGGCCACAAAAGCTTTTGTGTTTCCTAAAGAAAACGCAGCTGAGCTTCTGCCTCTAAAGGACACACGTACTTTATTTGTAATGTGATCTATAGTTTGTGCTCTCGTGTCACTATTCCTTTTTTTTTTACTTGTTTATTGTTCTATGTCCTCCTATCCTTTCCTTCCTCTTTTAACTCCCCACTACCCCCTCCCTAAAACAGAGTAGCCAACCAGGACTCCAACCTAGGTTAACCTCTCTGTTCTTCTTTTTCCGACTCTCTCGCTCTCTCTCTGTACTTCATTTCATCCAATGTCCTAGCGCAGTCGGAGGCAGGAACACGTACAAATAATAACGCGATAACTAGAAGCGCGAGTCACTGAGCCTTCCCTTTTCATAATTTGTTCATCGATAATAGAACACGACGAACACAACATGACATTACGCTTCTGGCTCTGATTGTTTTAAGGCTCGTTGATCCGCCGCACCCGAACCAAAAGGGGCAGTAAAATGAACTTAGAGATCATTTTGTGGCGCGAACTCAACCTGCACATCATTAGCATCCTAGAAAACCTAAAATTACAATCAGGCCTAAACTTTTCTACCTTTAAAAAGGCGACCAAACATCGCGGTACACACCTTTTCTGAGACTTTTAGGAAAAAGAGGACGTGTCTCGGTAGCTATCGAGCTTTTATTAGAAGGAAAATGTCACTTATGATTGTAATTTTAGGTTTTCAATGATGATTAGGGTGCATATCTTGTGTTTGCGCTACAAAAAAATGTGATCTCAAAGTCCACTTTAGGTGAAACGAAGTATAAAAATGGAATAATGATTTACCATACATATCGTGACCCCACGATGTGAATGGTCTATATCATCAACGCTCTGCGAAATAGTGACGCAAATCTACAGCTTTCTAGAGCTTATCGCACAGATGAAAAGTACCGAGTCTCTTGGTAGTAAACGATGCTCTGATATTTAGCGTCTGATGTTCCGGGTAAAAAGCTCTTGCGCATACTCAGAACGGGGTTCGCAGTCCAGTGGACGAAGGCAGCAGCGCGCAAGAGGTGATCATAGGAATGATCTATGCAACACGACGAACTCCACAGTCTCTCTTTGCTGCTTCGATCAAACTAAGTCAAACATTAACCTAAAAACACTGAGATTGGGACGAGAGGGGACAGACAAACAGTCTCAAAATCAGCTGAAATTTATTCGAATAAAAGTCAGCTCTGTTTCAGACTTTGTGTTCGTACGTCCCTTCTCGTCCCAGTCTCGGAGTTTTCAGTCAAATGTTTAGCCACCACCAGCTGGTTTGCACGCTAACCTTTTGTTCACTAAAACTAAGTCGGATATAGGTAATGCTCAAAACTTCTCGGGAAAGGTGGTACCATGCAAAATGTTGGCATTCTGCTATTGTGGTTTTCTAATGAGTAGTCTTATTTGTTCACCAGATCATTCGAGTGATAAACTCTAGTACTTGATTTCACAATATTTTGCTTTAAAAAATACGAAAGTCATAGGTAGCATTTTCTAATATGGATCATTCTCTAACCCCTGCATTCGTGTTATGTGTTACTCTTCTTTTTTCTATGGGGCTGATAACATTTCCTTGCCTGTCAGAGTTATCAGTAAAATTAACTTTATGTTAAATTGGCTGATAAATCTTTCATCGAACCATCAGCATGCGAGCAACTTAATTATGAACTTGTTTCACATCGATCATTACTCTTTGAAGTATGGTTTTTAAGCTCGCATTTTGAAACAAAGCTCGTCACGCAATATTGGAATGTAAAAAATATTTCACTCGAATAGTAACCAAATAACGAGAATTTGGCTTTTGGTATGACCAAACAAATAACCTCTATCACAAAGTTCTAGAAACCAAAATGCGCCCCACAAATCAACAAAAATATTGGCGTTGCAGTTTAACGGTGCCGACAAAGCTTTTATTTTTCGGCGGCGTCGTAACCTTTGCTCCATTCTATTTGTACGGTTGATTTATCTGCATTTGTACGAATATTTTCTTTTTTGAGACAACGTCTAATGATGAAAGTGCCCCGTGACTCTACCTAACATTTTGCACATTGTGTACTTCTCTCTTATTCCTTATCCCAGGAGCACTACGACAGTTTCAAAACAATTCGGTGTACTTCTTTTTTCAATTCATTAACAACGCCTGGCTCTGCGTCGACATGTTCTTCTTCATCAGGTGCGTAAAGAATGAGCTTTTTGTTTAACTTGACTTTGGAGTAGGAACCAGACACCATCAGCCTTTACCGCTCCCGGGCCTCTAAATCATCATGTGACAACAGTGCTTCTTAACATAGGTATTTGGGAAGAAAACACGTGAAGTTTTACAGGAGCGGGATTGGGCGAACGTCTCATAAATTAAGCCTTCATCAGGACACAGCTGAGTCTCCATCGCATCTATATTTTTCATTAAAGAGAGGAGTGGCTTTGATGCGGTGGGATCGCGGTGCTTGGATTAGTGCTATAATCGGGAAGGGTCTGGTTGAACAATATGTTATAACCATGGAGATTGGGAAAACACAAGTACAGGAGTACACGTGTAGTCCTCTTCTTTTGTTTCCCCACTCTCCAGGGTTAAACAATGTCACTTCTTAAAAGGCTCGCCTGCATCCTTGTATTAACTTTATTAGGTTGAACAAATTGGGTCCATAGTGTTTTTGTGTTGAATATGTGCGTGTTGGTTGCTGAATCGTTGCCCTCTTCGTACCTTTTATTTTTTTAAGTGGTTTTGTTTTACCAAAACTGGTTTCACGGAAATAGAGTCACTCGTGATTTGTCAGAGACACCTTCGTTCATGTTTAGAATAATAAAAACCCGTTTACCTTTAGTTTTTATGTGCACTGATTTATGTCAAGATGTACGCTTAATCACCCCATGACGCACGCTGAGAATATAGGGATATATTTCGTTAGCAAAACGTGTCCACTACAGAACCGTAGTCTTGTAAACTGACTGTGTTTGGAATAGAGAACCGACATAAAATATTGTCGGTTCTACACGCCACGTACATTTAATTAAAATATTGTTAATTAAAAAACAATTATTGATGAAAGCGGGTAAAAAACTATGTCAGTTTTGCGCCGTCTGTCAGAGGAAGTATAGTAGACTATCATGATGGCACTGCATTAAAGTGACCTGTGTATTTTTTTTTCTTTTTTTTTTTTTTGAACATCAAGTGTTTTATGGTTCTTTTGTGTCGTATCATAACATATACTTCGTGCAGTATGCGTTTTATTCAATTGGTTGATGTGTTTAATTATTTACTGTAGTGGACGGAGTTTCAATGTACGTTTTACAATGTACATCTATTACTGTAGCACAATATCATTTTTAACGTCGCACTCAGTTGCAGATGGCCATAACCATTTGTCGGAAAGCAGGTTGGATGCTGCACTCAAGCATAGCCAGTGCATGAGTCAAGATATAGCTACACACACTAATTTCAATACACCGTCAAAGAGCGTGTTATTGTAGAAGGCTCTGGCAGCCGTTGAGAATATTTGAGATATCCTCCTTCAGATCTACGTAACTGGCTAAAGTACTAGCTCACGCATCTAACGAGATGGCGCATTCCATTCAACTAAAAACTGCATGTACTGGGCGTATCTTGTTCTAATTTTGTCTGAACTTCGCCTGCACTCGTTCAGAACTGTTTTCTGAACTGAAGGAGCGGAATCTCTATGTGTACTAGTGCTTAAATTAAACAGACGCAGTTAATCTAACCCTGGATGAAGTAAAATATAAAACATGAGCTCGGTGTGAAAAAAAAGAACGGCTTTACAACATCGTAAATCCGCGTCATGTGTGCGTATCCTTCATTCTTTGATTGGTGCAGTTACTTTCGGCGTTTTGGTTGGCGTACTCGGTGCATTTTAGCGATGTTTTGCGGCGTTAATTTGACATAATGACTTGCGTTGCTTAGTGCGTGCCGCCTCTCAAAGACGAAAACAAATACGTCTATCATATTCGTTTTACTATCAATGTGGCCAGCTCCCGTAGTTCTCGCAAGCGACAGCAAGCTTTAACATAGCCATGAAAAATCTACCCAGACAGCTGAACCTCATATAAGGACTAGCACATAAGATCTACGTAGATAATAATACAATATGGGCGACAACAAATCTTCAAGAAAGCAGGAAGAAAGAGTGCAGAAGGCCATATACATAATTCAACATTATGCATCCTCCATAGGACTTACCTACTCAGCTGAAAAATATGAATACGTCGTGATTACTCATGGCATAGCAAGCAGAACATCCGAGAATAGGGGTATGGTCAACTTAACAATGGCAGGAAAGACATTACCCCGGAGAGATTTCATAGGAATATTGAAATTCTTTGTACGGGAGGACGGCAAATTTAGTACAACCATAAATAGGTTGACTGGATAGATAGAGCAAACCCTCGCCATAATGCGCAAAATCACGAGAAAAGAAGAGGCATGAGGGAACACGAACTTCGAAAGGTTCTCGAAGCACAAATCTACTCAGGGTAATGTACCACTTGCAATACATTTACCTAACTAAAGTACAGCAATCCAAACTCAAATTGGCGCTCTGAAAGGCCACCAAACCGGCGCTAGGCGTACCAGGATGCGCAGCTAACCATAGAGTGGAAGCCACAGGCCCTTTTAACTCACTCGGCGATATATTATGCATACACAATATGGGGCAACTGCAAAAGCTGGAAACCTCACCCCAAAGGCAGAAACATTCTCGAACAGATGGACTACAATATTCTATCGAGAACGCCACCTTGGGGGCAACAACCAGAATCGAAGTTGATCCGATTCCTAACAGCATGCATAAAATAAATTATATAAACAGACAAATCGACAGAGTAAAACGCTTACAGAAAGAGGCCGAGCACTCAGACGTAGCAATCTATTATACGGACACCAGTTTCACCACAGAGCAATGCACTCCAACAATATGATGCAGAAAAAAATCATGACACAGAAGGGCCAGAGAGTTCCCACCCGCATGCACACTGAGCTGCTTGCCATAGCCATGGCCATACCCCAGTTCACCAAATACGAGGAGGAAGAAGCCATAGTTAGAACAGATAGCTAACATGCCTGTCAAGCTTTTATAAACAATAAACTACCCATATACATCCCCGGCATTCTGCAACGACACACGCACAAATACCCGCTGCTAAAAATTAGGATCCAATCGGTCCCAGAACACCAGGGACTGAGAAGGAATAGCTGAGCTCACGAGCTCATCCGCGAACCGAATCGGGGACCATCACTGGCATGGCCGACAGTGCAGGAATATGTACCGAAATTGTCAAGAAATAATCTACATACAGTCAGAAAAGAAATTCTTAGGGATCGACCCAGGGCCTCCACCTTTCTGCCCTCACCCTCATATACTCATTCAAGAGAGGAAGCAACCCTCATACGTTAAGCGCAAACACACACTCTACTTACCCCGCACTATATCCATTACATTAACAATGCTCCAGGTCGACCCATCTGCTTACACTGCGGTGGATACCCCTGTAACGAACGTACACTTTGGGATTGCTCTACAGCCCACCGGAGTCCCTATCCCAGCCGCTTTCCTATCTACCCACCACCTCATCCCAAGAATCTGGGTGGAATGGTCCCACCCACTCCAGAGCTTCAAAAGCTGCGGTGGCCGCCCCTTGTTCGTCACAATCGGAAAGTGGAGAACGACGAAGGTCCGGACAGATTTACCTAGGCCCGCACTTGGGCTAAAGATCGAGGAGCATCTTCGATCTAAATATACGTTTTCTTTCTACATTGTGCTCCGCGTCCCCCGGGAGGGCTATGGAGAATAAAGTTAACAAAGGGCAGCTTGACCTTGCGTTGCTGTGGTCATGAGAGCTTACCAAACGCCGGGCGTCGCTTAGAAAGTTCACGCTCGTGATCCGTTTTTCGGCGTTCTTATCGTCTAATTTCGCAGTCTCATTGTCCGTGGAGCCGTAGATGTTCGAGACTCACAACGCCCTGCATTTCTTTAGCTGTCTGAGACTATGACTACGTCCCAGCATAAAACGACGTGATCCCGACAATCGCGCACTGCGTACGTCTAGTTTAAATGAACCTGTTTAAATACGGTAATCTGGACGTTAGTCCTTGAAGAACCAGACAACAAAATTTATGAAGCGACAAATTTCGGATTTCTTTTTCATGTTTCTTGCAGTGGTTTTCTCATCGTTTACAACCAGCGGAAGGTCTCTGAAAAAACAAATCTCCTACAATACTACGTCAAAACCTTGATCCAGCGATACTGGAGGTATGTCACCGACAGTGGCTGTGTAATTCGAGAATGCACGACATGAAAGCGCTACCGCGACGCGAAAGCGCCTGCCGTTAGAGCGCGCAATCAATTGAGCGCGCGTCACAGGAGCGCGTGTACGCGTCGTGGAAAGCTTCGAGGGTGGTAATCGCAACTGTATACTCTGTCTCACAAGTCCCTGCCGTAAAGACAAAGGCATACGCGCGTGAGTCTAAGTCGGCAGTATGTTTGTGTCTGTGCCAGCACTCGTGCATAAGAGGCACTTTCTAAAGTCACGTGCTCCTGTCCATGCCTTTGTCTTCACTGCAGATATTTGTGAGATGGAGTATGAAGTCGCTATTCGATAAAATATGGCAGCATTCAAGAGGTCGTGTTCTGCAGGCTCAATGATATTGTCAGGACAATTTTATACATGTTTTTTTAAAAGCTGTGTTTGCGAAACGATGGGTGTGATGCTTATTTGGATGTTCAAAATGAAATCTCGTCATATATTTTACCCACCGAAAACTGATCTGGCGGTATTTGCCTCCGATTTTGAACAATAATGGGCAATTCTCCAAAAGTGAATCCAGGCTGTAGCCATCACCAAATTTAAATACCATCTGCAAAAAAAATAGCCCTATTGGTCTAATAATAACCCAATCGACTAACCCCGTCACGGCAAGTTCAAGGAAAGGCAAAAAGAAAATCCTGTCCAAAATCATTCTTTTTAAAAAAATCCCGGATCGAAATAGCGCGCCGAGATGAATCTTGTTATGTTATGGTTATGTTGGAATTCGTGCATCTTTCCAACTCGTCTTATTATTTTGTACTGCATGTGGGTGCCGTGACCAGTTCAAGAAAGAAGGAAAAAAAATAACATTGATCATGATGCTACAACCGGCTACAACCAGCCCACCTATCGGCCCCGGCCCCCGATAGCGCTCTCCTGACGCGCGCTGAACGTTGAACGCGCTCTTGTGTTGCGCGCTCTAATGGCACCCGCTCTCGCTTCAAGGCGCTCTCGTTCCGCGCGTTCTCCTGTCGGATCTGTCGTGTCGTCAGCTCTCTAGGCGCACTTGGACAGACCAAAAAAACCAAAGAAGAGATGAGAGCTCTCATGAATATCAACCTAGCGGCGCTGTATAGAACGAACAGGGTATCTCTTTTTTTAAGCCTTACATGTTTGTTAAAAAAAAAAAGGCCGCCAAAGTTACACTAATGTGGTTTGTGCAGGTGAGTTATATGGTCGTGGAGAGGTAATAAAGGGGTCTAATCGTCACGATCAGTCAAATAATGAACTGAAATGTATTCATCAACTTTTTAAATCGTGAAAAGAAATACATGGTTCCGACTAGAAGCTTCCCGAGCCTCGTCGAAAACCACTAAATAATTTTTGTTGCTTTTTTGTTTTTGGTTTTAGGACTTTGGAGTGCACTGGAAGCACAGTATAGCGCGCTAAAGCTAGTGCAACACCCACAAGGGTGGAGCTATTGTAAGCGGAAGAGATGCCGAGCGGGCGTGTTATCGCACTTGCAGCATTGCTCCTGCTCCACGAACTTTAGCACTCCACCGTGCTTCTCATATGCTCCAAGTATTTCAAATATTGATTGATTTAGATGATGACGCTCAGCAAGTTTATTAAAACCATTTGTTAATTTTCAGTCATTAAAACGTTAATTCACCTGTTCTAGTTAATTAACCGACTGATTGGTTCGATTAGACACCTATGCAGTCCACCTGGTGGTATAACTCACCTGCCTGCACGAACCGCAAAAGTGTAGCTTTCTTGGCTTCTTTTAAACAAATCTATTAAGATTAAAAAGATACACCCTGTAGTATACATATATTTCAAACAAATTCGGAACGCCATAAAGCTTTGTTTTGTGCTAAACATCTTTAATGTGAATGGTGTTAGTTTTATATTTATACTCGTTTTGAAAAAAGGCAGAGACCTTCTTTACTGTAGTGATTATGGTTAAGAGTTTAGTGGCGCAGCAGCAACAATGCGAGAATCTTTATGTTTTTTTCGGTCTGGCTACACTTTCGCTCTCTCTTTTTCTCCCTCCATTTTGTTTTCTTTTTTGTCGGGAAAGAGGGTTGCCGGAGAGTAGGTGGAACGTGATATGATGGTTCTGTAATTTGTCACTCTGCTCCTAAACAACCTTATAGGATTTTTTTCAAGATGTCTGAGTTGCAACGCATAAAATTATTGTTCAAAAAGTTGATTAACGCTTAAATGTAGGGCTAGCTGTTCGAACCAGATGCCAATGTTTTGGAACTAAGCGTTATCTCATCACAAAGTTCTAAGTAATTTATATAAATTGGAACATTGGTCCCGCTTTTGTCCGCTTTGGGTAACTGGCACCATCCATCTCTACGTATTCGAGAGCTCCGTCGGCCTCTATTCTTCCCTTTAAAATTAAAAGAAAAAATCTCTTTTATTTTTTCAAAAAGATAACGGTTAATTCAGAAACTTCGGCATCTGGTTCCGACCACTATCACTATATTTGGGCGGAGAAGGAGCCTTTGGTCATGTGTAGTTTATTTTCGCGCTAAAAAGGCCTGTATTTTTACACCCTTATTTTAAAGGTTTTTACAGGTCATTTTAACGCTTATTCTCTATCTAATTTCAACTGAACACGATGAACACCCTAGTAACAATGGTATAATCAAACGGCAAATTATCTTCTTCATATATATATATAAAACAGCCGGTATAGTTATGCTTATGCAAACATCATAGCCACTGTCAGTTAAAAAAAAACATGGCGTGGGGTTAACTAAAACAAAATTTATTACTTGGACATTGGTTCCTGAATATTGTTTCGTTTAATGCTGCAATGGTATAGATGGCCCAATACAAAACAAAACTGTAAGTGCAAGATATGTGTTATTGCCTGTAAGCGTATTAAAGGGACAATGAAATGCCGTGTTTTTTAACTTCTTCCTTCTTAGTTTTAATCCTCAACTCAAAAACAAAATAAGAACTAGCGTTGTCGAGATGTGGTTGAGCATCCGTTTTAATGACTCCAAGCTTCCACCGTACTTTTTAAGCACACCATGAAACTTGTCATTTACAAGTGATGATACGTGCCGTCACGGCAGTTATTAACCACGAACGCGAATCCAAATATTCTTCGGCGGATTGATTGTTGACAACCCGTTACGTCCGAGTGACGCAGCGCTCTTCTCTGTCTACATCCTCGTCCTCGTATATTTTTAGCGCCTTTTTAGGTGAAATAAGGTAAAAGGTGGACCGCTATATTTTAAAATTTTCTAATCAAATAGCAGGCTTTTGACTTTCTACCCTTTTTCCTGTCGCCCACTGGTCGATATGCCATTAAAAAAATCCCAGTCTGAAATCATTTATTCCAGAGCAAAATTCATTTCATGGTTCCTTAAATGAGCATAAGTCTTCCGTAAGTGTTCATCGAACAATTTTACGACATGATTATACATTTTTGTTCTTTATTTTCGCATCCGCGATGTAACTCTCTCTAAATCTTAAGAGACGAAGACTACGTATCATACTTAAAGCATAATAGTCGCTGAGAACGTATGAAACGTACTGAGTGGCTTAGCGTCTTCCGCTTCTTGCTTCGCGATTCGTTCATCGGTATACTTATTGGAAAATGACTCAATCTAATTTATTACAAAGCAATAATAAGAAACTACGGACTCGCTCCGCCCTGCGTTTCTAAAGCTGGCAGTGACAATCAATTATACTTTAATCTGCACCCGCGGCTTCTTTGTTGCTCTCGCGTTCAAGTAACCACTTGACAGATTAATGCCTTTGGCACTGGTGCTCTTGTTGATCCTGTTCCTCGAGCCTGCAATGGGATCCGGCCCCATCTGGAAAGAGAAGATGCTCAAGGAGACGAGGAACTGCGAGCAGCGCTGGTGGTCTCTTCTGGGAGCCTTCTCCAACTTCTATTCGTACGACGACATCGTAAGTGCGCGCTTTAAAAAAAATAAAAAAATAAAAATAAAAAAACGGAGTTTGCAAGATACGTTTTGGGACAAGATAAATTCTCACGCGGTTGTTTTCGAAGTTAATACGAAATTCCCCTTTGTAGATACTTTGATCTTCAGTTCACTTCAGTCCACCTGAACGGAATCATCATCCAGTAGTGTCTCGTGACTCGTTCCACTAATTGCGTTGATCGGGAAAGTCGGAATCTGTAGAATGCAGCCGAACAAAAGGATTGTACAGTCACTGGAAGCTTAATAAACCCTGCATCTCATTATTGTTCCTCAGCTAATGAGATAGCTGTATTAGCTGATAGGAATAACGAAGGAGAAATCACAAAGCTGGAAGCTTGAACATCATAAGTCAAATCCTTTGATTTTTAGGCTGTCCACAAGTATAAACTGATCAGCAAAAAACATCATGACCAACATCCTGATGCAGTGTTGATCTAACCCTGGCACGCAAAACAGCTGCAACTCATTTTTACGAGGATTCTATAGAAGTCCCTTGTACGTGCCTTGAGTAAGATTGTAGCAGATTTGTAAGCACAGGTCGCGCAGTGTCTCTAGATTACGTGGAGGTGAATTGTGAGCTCTAACCTGGCGCCCCCATCACATGCCAGATGTGTTCAATAGGACTGATATCTTACGAGATAGGTGTCCAGGAGGATATCAAGTGGAATTTTTCGTACTCTTTAATCCACTGTGGCACCATTCTGTCACTGTGACATCAAGGGTTGTCCCGCTGGAAGATTCCAGTTTCGGAGAAAAAGACGAGCCAGGAGTAGGTTTAACCATGCAGCAGTGATCTCGGCATCACGATCTGCCCGCAGCCAAAGTCGCTTTAATCAGCAGCTTTTCCCATTACACGCACACGTAGTCAACACAATGGTCCCTCTGTATCCCCAGTAGCCGTTATCTACCACCCGAATCAGAAGATGGTAAATAACACGAATGGCGCTTCAGCCACACGCGCTCATTCTTACAATGTAGGGATAATCATAATGTTTTGGCTGATAATTTGATAAGTGTATGCGCACTGATAGCTTAAAAACCACGGGGTGCGGCTTATAGTTTTTAAACACTTCTCTCCTTTGATTCATTCTGTCTCGTTGTAATCTGATAATGCCGTAATCGAATTGGTCCTGTTGCGATGATAAGATGTTCGGGACATGACCCCGCCTGAACTTCTTAAGCTCTGCGCTGCTGACAAAATATACCTAATTCTATGCTAAGCTGTTTTCTCACTTAAAAAAGACTCTAGCGGAGATATGTTACTTACTTGATATGTAACAGTTTTGAATGTTCGTTATTCTTACTGTATCTTTTAGAACATTCATTATCTTTTTTTTCCCTTGCTGTTGACGTTGTCAACACAAAGTATTTTAATACTAATGTTTCAATAATATACACGTCAATATTTCTGTAGTAACTTGTCATTGCCGTTACGCAAGATGATTGCAAAGTTAGAGAATTTCATTTTTATACATCTGGCTAAAGGTATAATAAATTTAACACAGAACAAATTTTATTAAAAATTAAGTTTTGCCATCGAAACTTATTCAACACACGATCTGTTCACAGTGAGCTATTTGTTTTAACTAAAGACTCTTGCACACATTTCCAAAATGTTTTCAGTAATTATGTTCATTCGAAACAGGATTTTCATCGTTAACATAAAATACCTTCATGACCAATTTCGATACATTTTACGAAAGGTATCACATATTGCAAAAGCCTGCGATGACGTTCTTTTGTGCTAACCAACCACTTAAAATGGCATTTCGTAGGTACTGCAATTTGTTGGTGCAGATGATAATAATCATCATTCGCTCCATTGAACTTGGGTTTTCTACAAGGTTGTTTGTTTGATTATTTACTCTTTTTTTTTATTCAAATCAATTATTTAACATGCAATAATTCTTCTACAAATAGGCTTATCTATCCCAATCTAAATTGTGCATCCCAAATACGCGACTAAACAGCACAGGGAAGGTAAAACTGTGTCTCTTCGCGCGTGTAGGTGCTGCTCGCGGCTCTCTAACAAACGTAGCTTCACCTTCCCCCCCCCCCCTCTCCCCTTCCCCCGCGCAGGATTAGATGGGAAAGTGTAGGAAATAAAATAAAGCTTCCGTTCGGCAGCTTCGGAGCACCATGCAGATATTTAACGATGTGCATGCTTCACAAATGGGGGCATACAATAAAAATATATATATTTAGCAATCAAAATTTATAAGTAGTATTAGCTGTGGCTACCAACTAAAGAAAAAATATTTAAAACTACAAGTGCGACGCCCACTTTTTGCTGCGGTTTTTCACTTACGACGTTGCGTTTGTATGACTCTTAGTATGTGCCCGTCTGGCCACCAAAGAAATAGTACTACAAAACGTATATCTTTCTGAGTGTCGCGTGCATATCCTTGATGCATTGCACTATCACTTTAAGAGGAAATCTTTTGCACCTATTTTTTTAGAAGTGCGCTTGGATTTATAAGCTGTCTAACGTTTGATGGAAAATAGCTGTTGAATTCGCAGGTTGTGATGCGAATCGTATGAAATACTTACAAATTTTGTTCTCAGTACATCCTTATCGCACAAACTTTTGTGAAATACCATAACGTGTTCAAAGTTAGGATGCTTTCTTCTGGAACTACGGTCAAATGTAGCTAATAAGCTTCAATGGGTGCGTTCAGGATCATTCAGACTGCCTAGTCCTGTCCATTTCTCGCAACACTGAGGGAGTCACCATAAAAAAAAATTTTAAAAAAAGTTTAGGTCTGCCGCTACTGATGTACTGCCGAGAACGCCTTTGCTATGATTGTGATGTCATTACAGTGTTGTGTTGTTTTTGCCCTTTTCTCATGCAATAAACAAATTCCCATTAAAACAGTAGATGAATAAACGAAAGCAACTAATGCGATGGCCACCGTTTTTCTTTTCCATATGTTGCAGTGCATGCTGCATTTCTGGTACATCAGCGCGGACATGCAGATTTACACAGTCGTTCTGGCGCTGTCGCTGCTTTCAATCAAGTAAGGCTCAAGAATGCTGTTCTTTCAATTCCGGCTTTATCTATCCAACGACAAAAAAAAGGATAGCTACAAATAGCACATACATATGTATGGCATATAAAACTGTTCTAAAATGGTATATCCTTTTAGGAGGCCAAAGCTGTCCATTATTCTACTGATTGCCATCACAGTTGCCTCAATGATCGGCATCGGTGTTCAAACCTACCTAAGCGGTTTCGACCCGACAATGCTGGTTTTCAGCCAGGACACACAGTAAGTTCGCTTTGTATCATGCATTTCATTGTTGACGGAATATTTGTGATCATCAGCAGGTTCTCAGATGCCAAGTGTATTTTTTTCGCTGCCCATCGGATGCCCTGTTTTAGACCGCTATTCAACCCTGCGAGCAATGCGCCTGTACATGTGAAGCAAGAACGTTTCGTAAGCTTGCTCAGAAAAACAGAAAATTGAAAGAACCCTCTGTTTCATCTCCAATGGTGCGCCTGTCTAAAGTCTGTTAACAGCACGCCAAATCACTCAGATGCACGGAAGCAATCTGGTGAATAACAACCACAGGGTATGGATTCGACTTGGATTTGCTATTTCAGTCAGAATAACTAGGGCGACTTATCATTCATTTATATTTTCAAACTAGCTAAAACGAACTAAACCCAATTGCTATTTTAAGCCTTTTAAACGGCAGCTGTCACAAATATGTCATTTTCAGTTGTCTGGCACATATAAAAATAATCCATTTAAGAGTATCAGTAGGCACGTAGTATTTGCATTGTTCCCCGCTCACGGTGTCTCTTATATGTTTCATGGTCAAACAATTTTGAGCTATAAGGTGTTTGGCCAGGCTACACTTTTATTTATTTCAATATGTAATATCAACTTTTTATAAAAATTAGCAATTCTTCACCAGATATCAGTAACGAAATGGTCGTTTCTCGTCAAGGTTTGCCTTGGATATGACCCTCTGGTTGTACCGCCTGCCCCACTGCCATCTTGGACCTTACATCATAGGATCTCTAACCGCCTTTGTGTACATGAAACACGGAGACTTCCGCCTTCATCCGGTAAGAAGCCCAGGAATAGTCTCATTCAGCGCCAGATACTTTCCCAAGTAAAACGTAAGAAGTATATCGAGTACTTGATTTTGCTACCTGCCACATTTGTCCGTTCACGAATGGTGACTGATGGCAACGGCCAACGGAATACAACTCAAGAACCAAAGAGCTCAGGGATTTTTCTCTGGCAGCAAGGCTCTTTTCAAAAGCGTCACGGGTTTTTTATATATATTTTTTTTGCAGCACATTATTTTATTATTCTCCGAATAAAACACGCTCAATTGATCTAAAGCCAACTATTAATGTATTTTGTAGCGCTCTTTCGGCTGCATGGCAGCAGCTGCCACCATCTCTCACCTGTTGCTTCACCTAGATGTCTTTCATCATGGACTCGAAGATCTGTCTTGATACACAATACACCCATTTTCAACCACCTTTGATATATGATATGATATATTTATTTTAACTCAGGAAAGGACGCGGCGCGATACGTTAGGGAACATATACAAGGGGTTTCACGAAAGGCGGATAAATTCGATATTGCGAAAACTACGCGTCGCAACAAAACAAAAAGGTTTGTGTCGTTTTTGTTCTGGGCCAGAAGCCTATTTCGGAAATTTATTGGACGACATAATGAGAAACAGCGCAAAAAGGACAGGACACAAAGTAGAAGAAGGACACAGGATATATGCTGACTAGCAACCAAAGGTTTACTATAACTTCCACGCGCGCACAGTGGCCCGCGCAACCACAAGCACTTTCTCTTTCAAAAGAGATAACTGCTAATAAAGAAAGAAACAGCGGCACTAGAAGGACGTAGCAAAACGCGTGACCAGAATAATAATTAAAAAAATATTAAAATTCTGACAGCGGCACGAGAAAACAATAACATCATGCGCCGCGTACACTCCACGTACGCACCACGTGCACGCCGCGTTCAGGACACAAATTAGCCCTTTACAGCTCGCGTGTACAGTATACTAAGGGCGGTCACAATTAAGAAATTGTAACTCCCTTTTGGTCAGATGCACTGACGCGACACTAAGGCAGGGATCTGGTCCACAGGCAAGTATACGCGCCGCTTCCAGGATTTCTCTCTCCAACTTGCCCCGCATGCGTCCCACCACCTTTGTGTTGTCCAACGCAGGAGAACACCCACAATCCCTGCAGTGTATAGAGGCTTTACACAGCCGCCATTGCTGAACTTCTCTTGTCTTACGGAGATACCGAGCCACTGGAACGGGTGTTGACAAGCCTCCAGAAAGGCCAATGCTGGGAATGACACAATGGAATCTAAGATGGCAAAAACCTGGACTGCTATGGTAATGACGAAGTGAAGAAAATTGAATAAGCGGAAACAAAAACTGAAGGTCAGTTATGGCGGCGCCCATGCTCAACTGCTGTAAAGCGTCTATAGGTAGATGAGAACCGTGACCGCTGCCGAGCGAGGCCGCGTGCTCACAGAGCCTATCGTTCAAACAGCAACCAGTCTGTCCCAGGTAGACTCTACCACAGCTGAGAGGGATCTCGTAGACGACTTCCTTAACACAAGGCACAAACTGCTTGGCATGCCTCGTGTTACAGGGCCGTTTCTAGGTTTGGTGCCGCTTGACATTGCGCAGTGTTTAGATAGTTTGCAGGGGGCCGTGAAGACAACGTCAACGTTGAATTTTGCTCCTACACGTTTAAGATTGTGAGAGATCCTGTGAACGTAGGGTAGCACTTCGAACTTCTTTGGCCTTTTCCTAATTTCCGTGTCAGGACTTTTTATCTTCTTAAGCAGGGATTCGGCCACTCCTCTCACGAGAAAAGGAGGGAAACCCGAAAGTTCAAGGCGATGTAGCTGAAGGTCAAAGCTTTCCCGTACGACATAGGGACAGGACTTTTGAAAAGCCGAGCGGATGCATAGGTTGGCGATATCCCTTTTGACTAATTTAGAGTGCGCCGAGTCGAATGGTAATATTGCCTGTTTGGTTCGCGGCGAGTACATCCAACAGATGTGGTCGGAACCATTGAAGGGCAAACATAAATCCAAGAACTGCAATGCACCGTCCGCCGGCAACTCGATCGTGAAACGTAAGTGGCTCGAGCACCCTTCAAAAACTTGTGGGGCAGACTGGGAGACAGAGTCCAGGCGAGTTTGAGGGGGTACGCTAACGAAAACGACAAAGTCATCCACATATCTATAGATCTTGACAACAGGGACGTCAGTAAAGACTGTAAAGCAGTGCAGTCAAACTTCGCGAGATAGATTTCGCACAGTACCGGTGCAACACTGGACCCGATACAAATCCCGCGTCTCTGCGAATAAACCTTGTCTTTATAACAGACGATGGTCGAGCTTTGGTAGCAGGTGACACGAGGCATGCCAAGCAGTTTGTGCCTTGTGTTAAGGAAGTCGTCTACGAGGTCCCTCTCAGCTGCGGTAGTCTACTTGGGACAGGCTGGGCGCTGTTTGAACGATAGGAGCACGCGGCCTCACTCGGCAGTGGCCACGGTTCCCACTACCTATATATCACTGCAGGGATTGCGGGTGTTCTCCTGCGTTGGACAACACAAAGGTGGTGGGACGCATGAGGGGCAAGTTGGAGAAAGAAATCATGGAAGCGGAGCGTATACTTGCCAGTGGACCAGATCACTGCGTTAGTGTCGCGTCAGTGCATCTGACCAACAGGGAGTTACAATTTCTCAATTGTGACCGCCCTTAGTATACTGTACACGCGAGCTGTAAAGGCCTAATTTGTGTCCTGAACGGGGTGTGCATGTGGTTCGAACGTGGAGTGTACGCAGCGCATGATGTTATTGTTTTCTCGTGCCGCTGTCAAAATTTCAATTTTTTTTTTTTTTTTTTTTTTTTAATATTTATTCTGGTCACGCGTTTTTCTACTTCCTTCTGGTGCCGCTGTTTCTTTCTTTATTAGCATTTATCTCCTTTGAAAGAGAAAGAAGAGCTTGTGGTTGCGCGGGCTTTCCTGTACGCCCTGGATGCCTGGACGCGAAGTTATAGTAAACCTTTGGTTGTTAGTCAGCGTATGTCCTGTGTCCTTCGTCTACTTTGTGTACTGTCCCTTTTGCGCTGTTTCTCATTATGTCGTTCAACAAACCAGGCCACCAAGGTATCGTGTTACAGCAAAATTATTAAAGGCCGGGATAATTATATTGTTAATTATTTTTGCGTAATTAACTTTTTTTAATATTGGTTTCATGGGCATGGTTTTAATTAGAAAATTTCCCATCATCATCAAAAAGCACTAAATCAACAAATTTAAGAAGCATTTTACGGCTTTCTAAAAAACCGCACAAATTCAACGGGTTTCTAAGTATCGGTTTGCTATCGGAGCGCATCTCGGCCCCGGTGGCACCGCGCCTCCGTGAAGATATAGTGCAACATGCCTTTGCTGCGTCGCGCGATGACTGACTGCGTCGCGCGATGACACCGGGGCCGAGATGCGCTCCGATAGCAAACCGAAACTTAGAAACCCGTCGAATTCGTGCGGTTTTTCAGAAAGCCGTAAAATGCTTCGCGTGCCTTCTATCGTTCTGCAATTTGTTTTGGTTTTTTTGATGATGCTGAGCAATTTTCTAATTGAAACTATGTCCTTAGACACAATATTAAAAAGTTAATTGCGTAAAAATAATTAACAACCTATATAATTATCCCGAACTTTAATAATTTCCCTAAATAGGCCCCTGGCCCAGGACAAAAACGACACAAGACTTTTTTGTTGCGACGCGTAGTTTTCCCAATATCGAATTTGTCCACCTTTCGTAAAACACCCTGTATATGCAATCCCTTCGTAGGGCCAACGATACATTTGACTTGCGCGGTGTTCCCGAAGTTGGTGCATGGGAACTACGAAATATATTTTAACGTCTACCATGCGTTCAAAAAAGACATGCATGGGCATTGGCTGTCCTTGGGATTCCTACAGTTACTGTGTGTCTATTTCATACGGGTGGCTTCCACTTCCTTCCCTTTTACGCCAAGCCCCCCGTGGGCGTTTAAAGGAACACTGAAATTAGAAGAAAATCTAAAGGGCTCAATATTTTTTAAATGTTTTCACGAAACAAATTCTTTATTGGAAAGTTTACGCAATTCGACACTCTTTAGTGGGGGCACCCTAGAGTTCCTGTATATAGCTACCCACGGTAGCAGAGTTGCGCATTCAGCCTCGGCGGGTGGCCGTAGCGCCGGCTTTCCTGCACGCCCTGGATGCTTTGCTCCTCACGTGACAAAATTGGCCGAATGGCGGCGCCGCGCGCGCTGCCGCGCATGGAAAACGGGAGAGAAGGAGAAGGAGGGCGAAAAGCAGGGGAACATACGCCGGGGCGCGAGCAACGTCGGCGGAGCGACCGTAAGGGTGGCTTTCTTGCACGGCGCCGGATGCTTTGCTCCTCACGTGATGGATGTCGGCGAATAGCGGCGTGGCGGCGCGGGGAAAACAAATGCGCAACTCTGCTCCCCCTTCGGGGGAGCATATCGAGGAACTCTAGGGTATACCCCCTGCTCTGGCCCGCCTGGTGCCGACAATACTAAGCACTTTTTCTCGGCTCTCTTTGGTTGGAGAGATGATTGACGTGTGAAATGTTTGTTGTTAAATCGTTTTTTTGTGCCGTAATAGTACCTATATACCGACAATATTTTATGTTTGAGAAAGAGATAGTCTAGACAGTCACTTGTTTTCAAAAATATTCCGAGATCGCCTTTCTGCTTCGGCTTCAAACGATGTAACAAGCATGGCTGGCGTCCTTTGCGGCGTGCTCACCGAGCGTAGCTCGTTGAGCTCGTTTAGTTTTAGGAGTGCGAGCATAGTTTGCAGCAGACAACTGTCGCACGTACAGGTGTCACAAAAACCAGGGTTGGGCAGTATCGCGATACAAATGTATCGCGATAGTGTTTCAGAAATACATTTCGTATCTGTATTTCTGTATCGCGATACATTTTTTGCACCAGTATCTGTATTCCTGTATCGAAATACATTTGGAATGTTTCTTTGTATCGCGATACAATCAGGATGAAATGTATTTCGTTACATTTCTTCAAAAATACTCCCCCCCCCCCCCAAAAAAAAAAAAAGTGCGAACGCCTTTTTCTTTTTTTTTTTTTTTTTTTACTTTTGAGGGCACCAAAGTCAAGAAATGCTGGGGCATTGTTACTATGCAGATCAAGGTTCCTTTTGATTCTGCAAACTATTTTTCTATGTGTCCTCTTCTCTCTTCTAAAAAGTGTTGCGTAGTCGGAAACTCGAACCAGGGGGCGTGCCAGGGGTGGAGCCAGAACATCTTCTGCCGCAGGTCCTTAGGTAGGGATTTCTTGAGTCATTGTTTGCTGGCATCCAATGCCCGCTGCTAGCCGTCTCTCTCGCCTTAGCGTACAGAGTACACCCAGCCGGCAAAGCTGAGTCACATTCCGTTGCAGCACGAGCCTGGCGGTGGTTGACTTGAAATAGCAGGAAGACTCACGCTGTGAAGTTCAACACATATTTTAATGTATCTGGGGCTGCGCCCGTAACATTGCACGGCTCAAGGGTACGTCATCAGCCGACGTGAACGTGACCCGCTGCTCTGGTGATCCGAAACCCAGAAGGAGGCCAGAAGTGACCTGGCTGTGCTATCCCAGACTACGTTCCCGCGACTCGTCTCGAGACCGCCGTTTCTCGGACAGCTCGCACCTGTGCCGGCAATATCAGCTCGCTATCCACGAGGTCTCTGTTTGGATAATGCTAGGAAAACCTTGAGGACTGCAATCCGTGCGTCGGTGGCGGAGGGTCGGTAGTAAGGACCTTCAGAACAGGGATGCTACCGTATCGTTTTTTCAACCGTAACAGAAGATAAGACATGTATTCTAAGATGCTTCAGGTGGTCCACTATTCTCAAAAATTCTAAATGACACTGCATGCACGATCTTCAACTATAGGTAACCTAAAACGAAAGTACGTATTGTCCTTTCATACATCAGCGTGGTAAGGTTTCATGTTCAAGGCCACACCTACAGATACAGAATACTAGTTCATTACACAGTGACATCATGTGATCAAGGTTGACAGGATTCCCTCCCCAGACAGACAGGATGTCATGGAAGGGACCGCGGTCAGCCCTTGATGGAACGTTTTTTGGGGCCCATTGAAGACTCCTTGTCGTCCGAAACCACTACCTTCAAGGCAAAGTGCAAAGCCTACAGGAAAGTAATTTCGGGATCGAAAACATGTACTTCAAACTTCAAGCTTCATCTCAGTTGGCGTCTCAAAAAATTTGGAAAATGTATTGCACTATCAGTATTTCTGTATTTGTATTTCTGCCCTCCCTAAAATGTATTCCTGTATTCGTATTTCCAAATACTTTTTGCCTCTTTTTAAAATGTATTCTCGATACGTATCGCGATACATTTTTACAGATGTATCTTAGTATCAGTATTTTAGCTACTATTTTAATGTATCCCAGTATTTGTATTTCCAAATACATTTTTGAGTATTTCTGCCCAACCCTGACAAAAACTAATTACATGCTAAAATGGCTCTCAAAAATCAAAGACTTCACGGATCTTGTTCCAATCTCACTCAAAAATGTTTATAACTGGTCACATTTTTGTGCAAAAATTTCCAAGTCGGAACTCTAAGTACAAAAATAAATAATAAAAAGTGATTTTTTTTTAACGACGCAGCGGCGGCTGTCGGGGGGACACCTATCGACGTCCATGTTTCTTTGCCTTATCCAGAGATGGCGCTGCAGATCACTGGACGTCAGAGCCGTTTATTGAGAGAGTTTGGCCATACATTGGTTTGAATAGGCGAGCATCTCGGGGCCAACCACAGGCCGCGAAACAGCCCCTAGCGGTGGTCGTGAGCTCTAAATTTGTGACACGACTAATTCAAGCCGTTTTAGCGTCGCTAGAGTTAAAAGGTGTAACTCTCAGTGACTGAAAACTTTGTGCGTGCGAGGTTTTCGTCACGCCAATATTCAAGTGTAAAATAAACGAACGTGCGCTCCAAACCAGGGCCAACTTGCTAGAAACAGCGTCTGAGCTGAGACGGTGAAAGAAAGCACTGCCAAAGCCAGCGCACGAGCCGAGCGGGACACCGCGTCTCCAGGACGCTGTTCTAACAAGCCAACATCAGCAGTGCAGAGAAAGGCATGGGCACGAGCGCGTGGCTTTGCAAAGTGGCTCCTACGCACGAGTTCACATACAAACAAAAGCGTTCTGCTGAGCTAGGTTCACGCGCCTGTACCTTTGTCTTCACTGCCGACATTTGTGAGATAAAGCAGAGAGGCCGAGATTGAACGCCTCTATTTCACGCTTCGAATGTCGTTTGCAATATTCTGACGTCGGGGTCTCCTGATTGGTCGACGCTGTGTCACAAATTTAGTTTACGCTCTAATCGCGGGGGGAATATTCGGCGCTGGCGGCGGCCTTTGCTCCGCCTGTTGGCCAAACTCTCCCAATACACGGCTCTGCTGGACGTAAAGCCCCTAGGCGCCAAGCGAGAAAGCCCGCCTTTATCCGAGTTTTTGGTTGCGAGGGATATTTGCCAAAAGAAAGATGTTTGAGTTTCCAGCTAAGTTTCACTGTGCAGAAAGTGTCGCGCCGTAAATATTAATTTAAAAAAAACTGCCCAATGCTGCTCCGCAAATGACGTATCTTCGTCTGCGACGGTTCTTGTTTCGTGCATCGCCTGCTTTCGCAGTTCAACGTTCGGATGAGACACGAGAGGCAGCCAGGAGTGCGCCCGAAAAAGCAGCGAGTTGGTGGCTCTGAAAAGAGCCACTGAAATCTGAACTACGGTATGCGTAGTTGAGGTCAAATTCCTCATTCACACACTGTAACCAGCTTCCTGTAACCAGTGTGAATGAGGTATAGACCGCATGGTCATAGTCAAAAATGTGGCATTTTTTAGTATGATTTTTTTTTGTGTGTCTGTATCGACAACTCTGATTACCATTTTTCTATCTTCGTTTGCCAATTACTTTTCGCATTAGTTTTCTTCTCTTAAAAAATATTTTAATTTTTGATTTTCCAAACTGTCTGGCTGGTCTCTTCTCTCTCTTTCCCCGGCAGTCGTGACAATGTCGCACAAGGGAGACCCTGGGCTTGTTAGTGTGTTCAGCCGAGCAGCCAATCCAGTAGTAATGAGCGGGCCACCGATTTGTGGGTGGGGCTTAGAGCGTGCCGTGGCCGCCACCAAAATGCGACTAACGGCGTAAACACTGTGCGATTTCTTTTTTCATGGAATAATTGCTATAAAAATACGTGTCCCAGCTAAATCTTTTAAAAAAAAAGTTTTTATTTTTTTTTTATTTTAGTGTCCTTTTAAAAGTCACTTAAAAAGAAAAAGAATTGTTGTTGTTGTTTTTTTGTTGTTTTTTTTAACAGTCTAACTGGGACACGCGTGTCTCCAAATAGATTTTGCGCGAAAAACAATTTAGGTAATATTGACCGCGTGAGATTTATTTGAAATTCTGCGCGCGAAGTTCATGGCGTCACGGGTCATTCTGGAATGACCATCTCGGTAGTGAAGGTCAAGCCGATCCACCTCTCCTCCACGCGCCCGAAATGCCGAGAGAGAAAGCGAATGGAAAGGAGGTAACTGCCGACTAAATCGCGTCTTACGCCGTCAATATTGCACTAACACCATTTTTTTTTTCGCCTAAAATCAATTTTTGACACGCATGTCCTAACGAGACAGTTTAAACAAAAAACTTTTTAGGGGCTCTTTTGGTGTCAAATAAATTAAAATATAAACATTTCTTGACTATCTTTTTTTAAATGATCCTTAAACTGAATTTTTTAAGATTGCTTGAGAAAGGTAAATGGACATTCGTTGTTTCAAGATGCATCATTTTTTTTTCTATATTATGCATCGAAGTTAGAAAAACGAAGAGAATTGTAAATGTAATGATAGAGACTGGACAACTCAAAAACACAATCATTAACATCAAGGATGGCCGACCAACCTTTATTGCCTACATATGGCTTGCAACGTAAGTGTAAACAGGAATAAATTGTAATTCTTCAAATAATTAAACAACTAATGAATGCATTATTTGATAAATTGGTTCATTAATTCATTCGTAGGCAAATATTCAGATATTTAATTAGTCAGTGAATGAACAAGAGAATGAATGAATTATCAAAAAGACGCCGTGTCAACATCAGAAGAGAAATACAAAACCAAGACAATAGAACTCGCCAGATGAAAAAACCTCGTGGCACACACGACCATGCATATAACTGCCGAAAAATGTGCAAGAAAAACGCTGCTCTACGCCTTCTAGTTTGTTTCAGCTAGTTGTATCTTAGTTCTAAGCTATGAGGAAAACTTCAGATGTGATTAGAACTGAATAAGGAAGCGGTTGACTAAAGCAAAGGGACTAAAAAAAAATATCTCGAATGTACCTAATAATTTTTAGCACTCGGCTTAAGGTTTTTAGTTCGTTGCAGTAATTGCCAGTAATTTATGGCTGAACGAATTTTCTGATCCTCCCATAGGTGGTGCAGATGTTCCTTTGGGCCTTTTCCTTCGCCCTGACCGGCCTGGCTTTGTTTTCGACCGCGCAATGGGGTCAGGGTGACGTGCCTTCACTTCCGGTGACCCTCGCATTTGCCACAACCCACCGCGCTGCCTGGTCGCTGGGCGTCGCTTGGATCGTCTTTGCCTGCATCACGGGAAGAGGAGGTAAAGGAAACCCTTTATTTCTAGTGCATTGTAGGGGTCGAGGCTGTGAAATTTCCAAGCTTCATCTCAGGGCCTCACAGGCTAGCACCTCTATATGAGTATTCAATGGACACTGCTCTTCGACATTTTCCATATACATCGTTAGAAACAACGATTTTGCACCTATTAAAATCTTAATCAATAATTAAAATTGTTAACCTTTCTAATATGGTGGCTGATAGAACTGTGCACGCAATGCGGATATTGTAAGTATGTCGTTATATTTCCCGGAATAACAATTACGGTGGTTCATAACCTCCGAAATCCTGGAGCAGTTTCTATTAATAAAACATTTTATTTCCCTTATTAGTTTGTTTGGCATACATTAAAATACCCTTGACTGATGGCAAAAGTTTCGTTGAGAATAAATAAGTTTGGAGATTGTTTTACTAACGTCAGAATGCGAACTACATAAACAATTCAAAAATGCGAGATATTTGACCGACAAATATTTATTTGATAGAAGGATGAGACAGAAAAGCAAAAAGCTACACGGAAATTCGTGCCCCTTGCTGTAGATGGAAGTAACATTGAAAACTGAAACAATACACCAATAAGATTAGATATTCTCAACCAAGAAGACATGGAGCACATTGAGCATTGATTTTAGATAATAATATTTGAACTTTGAAAACATTGGTTCCCACAGTGACTTTTGTATGTTGAGTTTGACAAAAATGTCGTGCACTAATGTTGAGTTTAACAGTGACGAAAATTATGTCCGTCACCACCCTTAAAATAGTGAGCTTCTGAGCGATTATTCTGTTAAAATGCTATTCTAATATAGTGGGCCACTACATTAATTGTTATGTTAATAAATTAATTCTACAGCCATATCATAGAAATTTTTACTTTTGCGTTTTACCTACCAACGTTAAACCCATATTTCTGCCAACAAACATTACTGTTGCATATTGCTCATATTGTCATCAAGCTACTTTTTTCGTTTCCACGACAAACGTTGTTGTTATTTACCACGATGCCCGATTGAGCCATAAAAGTTACTTGTGGCATAGCGCTCGAACTCCTTTTTAATTAAGGTAACTGTAGCTCTGATAATTCGATCAAAAACATTCTACTCATAGCGTGCCGATGGCCTGCATGAAATTTAAATGGGATTCTCGCAAACTCCAAGCATAAGAATGGCGTCCTTGGTTTCGGAAGATGTTTGTCTGGTGTTCTTTAAATTTTTACCAAAAACAGAACTAGAATCGCTTACTCGCACGCCAAACGTGTTTCCTTAATCTACTACTCTAGCCCAAGCCTATTTGAGCGATATTTCAAAAGTAACGCTTGCTTTGTCGAGTGAATTGCTAAGTTGCAAAATTATTGCGGCCGATCAAAACTTTTTGTTGAGAAGGTTCATAAAATCTGCAAAAAATACTGTCTTAATTGGAGCACATTAATATATATATATATATATATATATATATATATATATATATTGAAGGAGTCTTGAAGCTGAAACAATTAAAACATTAAGCTACGAGGCTAACAGGACGTTTCAACTCACACTCTTGGGCTTTCAATACCTAACAAAATGATATAGTCGCAATACTTCTTTCTGCTTTGTCTTAAGAATTCACAAATCTGCTTCGCGTACTGACCCAGTGTTTGGTTCTCCAATCAATTTCGCGTAGGTGTGATCGACTCCCTGTTGTCCTGGGACGCTCTCGCCCCGTTGGGTCGTCTGTCGTACGCCATATACCTCGTCCACGGATACGTCGTCTTCTTCAGCCTCTGGACCATCCGTCAGAGAATCGAGCACATGCATTTTTTCGTCGTAAGTTGCTTTATCCATGTCTACACACGCTTGCAAGTACGACCTCTGGACGCCGCCATCTCGCTACTGCAGCGTGTAGATTGCCTGATAGTCAAGTCCTGATAAGGCATGCCCACGGATGCCAAGTGCACCAACTAGGCGCTTTCCACCCGCGGTGGCCAGACTGGCTTTTGAAGTGTGGCTGCTCAAATGAAAGACGTTAACGACAGGGTGTCCCACACAAAGTATCTACATGATTGAGGAAAGGGTGGAAGCCTTTGCAAGCATATATGGTTGCTGGCAGACATGTACAAGTTACTCAAAAAAATTAATTAAGTTAGGTTACTGAGTATTGGCTTCAAAAGTAATTTGAGTAGAGTAGAAATCACTCAAATAGAAAGTAATTCAGAAAATTACTAAGTACCGTAAACAAATTAGCGAATAACTTTTAAACTTACTTTTATAAGTTTTTTTGTTTGTTTTTTTTGTTTTTGCGGTAAAAAAAAAGTACAGAGGTTTTGACCCGTTAGCGAAATTATGCTAGCCAAATATGAATCGGCTTGTTATTTCACAGATATGCTTTAATAGCTGGTTCTGCTTCTGCGTGCCTAATTGCTTTGTACTTTCTTGTTTGTTTGGTCAATAATGTACTGCGAATGGGACATTTCTACTTTGAGGTTTAGCACTGTCTGAGCATGATTTTTAGACAGTGTCCGCTTGTTTACAGTGTTGCGTAAAGTACACCTAAAAAGTACTTGAAGTAAAGTACAGGTGCTTCAGACAGGTTTTTAAGAAATATTTTAGTAATTACTGTATGTCGAATAATTAGTCATGTCTCGTTAATATGGACCCAGTTAATATGAATACCCCACCATATGGACACAATTTTCAGTAAATAAAAGGTTATGTACTTCAAGTAAAGCATTAAGTACACCGGGTGCATTGTACTTCAGGTAACGTATTTAAATACAATATATTTCAAGGTAAAGTACAAGCAATTTTAACACAATCTTTCATGATGCCCTTTTATTCCCCATACAGTGTTTTTAACTGGTGTGCATTGCTTCAGGGGTAATTGGAGTTGCATCAGTTTTTTATGGAAATGGCAGCAAATATTGTATACGGTCAAGTCGCCGCAGAGTAGTTGTTTTACACTCGCTGACAAGCTATTTGACTCAATTAACTCATAAGACACTTATTGGCTTCGGTCTTACAGCCGCCATTACTTTACTCAGAGAATAGACCAGATGACGTCTCGAAAGAGCGCGTTTTCACACGACGATACCACCAGTTTCTTGTTTTCAAATTCGGGGAATGTACGTTGAAGTCGGGAGTTTAAAGTCCCGTTCACACTCTTGCGACCGAGTAAGACCGAAAGAGACCAGACCGGTTTTTAAGCCTCTTGCGATCTCTTAGGACCAGCTCCGCAGCAACGCATCCGGTCCTAACAAGTCGCAAGAGGCTTAAAAACCGGTCTGGTCTCTCCCGGTCGTACTCGGTCGCAAGAGTGTGAACGGGCCTTTACTTTCCTCGAAAAATACAAGTACATGTTCAGAAGACTTACTTCAAGTAAAGTATCATTTTTCTAAACGGTAGCACTTCAAGTACCATGTACATCGTACATAGAGTACCTCCCAACACTGCTTGTTTATTATATTTTATATAAAAACGCTGGGGGGAATTACTACAGGTTTCTCGAACAATCTTTGAATCTTTGAAGATCTGTATATTCTCAGTTTTGGGTGGAAAGACAACGCAAAAAGGTAATTTTGCTTTGCCCTTTAGCAGGCGATGTTTCGAGTACAGCACAAACTACGGGAGCACGAGATGAGTTTCAGAGCAGGTGCTGCATTTGGTTCCCTCTTTTGAGTGAGGGTGCAGTGTGTGCACCTCCTGTAGTGGGCGAGAGTTTCCGTTGGGGAGATGAAGGGACAACCCTTTCTTCATATACCTCGAGTCTCCTTGAGCTTCGGGACACAGAGAAACGCCAGTCTTCGCTGCTAATCTCGCAGCATACTCGGCCAATCGTGCGTCGTGTCTGTTCGCTAACCGCGCCTCGTAGCAGTATCGTTGCATTGGGGGGGGGGGGGGGGGGGGGGGGGGGCTTATACTTTTTTTTTGTGTGTGGGGGGGAGGGGGGGTTCGGTCTCTCCATACCATATTCTCCCCCCCCCCCTTCCTACGCCACATGCTTCCCCCTCTGTGCAAATATCAGCTGATCTTCCGACATCTTATCTCCTTTATGCATGATTGTTCGTAGATAGGCAAAACAACCACTAAACCTCGAAAGTAACTTGTAACTTGAGTAGAAGTTACTTAGAAAAAGTAATTAAACTACTAATTACCGAAATAAAAATGTAATTGAAAGTTACTAAACTACTCAGAAAGGTAGTTAAACTACAGTAACTTGAGTAGAGTAGTTGAACTACGAGCAAGTCTGGTTGCTGGCAAATCTCATCTGGAGGGTTTGCATCCGCATGCTTTGTTTCTGAGGTATATACTCACAGTGCTAGCATCTGATCTGTCATTGTAACAAACATGAAGGTGAACAAGAGAAATATAAAAACAGGACTTTTAGCTTTTCTTCGTTCCCTGTACCTCTAGCTTAGCTCACACCTGGTAATTTAGTTTGTTATGTTTGTTCCTTTAATGTTCATGTTTTCTTTTTTTTTAGATATGGCTCACGTAAGTTTTAAAAGCAACAGTGACTATCTTAAGCTAAAGAATAGAATCTTATGGATTTGAGATTTTAGCAATTTCTCGGTTGGTGTTGGTAAAGCATATTATCCAAATTCATAGAACATCTTGTTTCGTTAATTATTGTACAACTACGGGACAAAGTACAAAATCTCTTAAATATAAAAAGCTAAATACGTTCGCATTAATGTAAACAATCTATGATATTTGAGGTTGCGCGCATACTTCCAGATTATTAAAAGAATCAAAACAGAAGGTAAAAAGAACACGACGAAAAAAAAAGAGAAGACACGCTACGTTCGTACTTGTTTTCGCGCTTCTCCCTTTGAGCGGTACAGCATCTGGTGCATATGATCTTCCTTTTTGCTATAAAATGCTAGCCAAAGTTATACAATGCGGGGCGCTAGTTCGTCTGCTTCTTGCACACGGGTTGCGATCATGTGAGAATGCCGAGCTCTTATTGGCTGATTAAAAAAAAAAATAGTGGGTAGGCCTCAAGGCATCTAGCATTGATGTCTACTCACTATCCTTTCAATCAAAGCCAATCAGAGCTCGGCATCGTTCTGACGTCGCAGCAACTGGTGCGCAAGAAGCAGACGACTTGCTCTCCGCATAAGCTTCTCACATACTTCAGTACCGGCTAACCTTCTTATTACAAGCCCGTAATCAAAGCATTTAGTGAAATCTAAAACCGTGAAGGGTATTTTTCTTCTCAGATGGGTTTCGCATTCTGAATTTAGGTACCAATATTGTCATGGGTGGTGACCAAAATAAAAGGAAATAAACGGGAAGAACTAAACGTTTAATGTGGCGAATTTGTGCCAAAAATAAAGAAGGAAACAGAAGAAAGCAGAGCGTCGCGGGCGTCGAAGTCGGCGTGTCAGCAGAATCGAGCGCTGGGGCGAGACTGACTCGACAAGGTCGCGGGCGGCCTCTTATCTAGAGTGCGTCGCTATCTCGAAGATTCGGCGAAAGCGGTTCGAGCGTCGCGTGATCGGGGCGAGAATGAACACGCACTTTCTAGAAAACAAAAGCAGGGATGAATGATAGAAGTTACGTGCGGTACATGAATAAACGGGAACTTTCTGGAGGACCGTGACCGAGCGTTGCTTTCTCAGCCTTGCGCGCGGCATTACTCCCCCCTTTAAAAGTGCATCGCCCCGATGCAGTGTAAAACAAATCAAAATAAAAAAAAAGAACGATAAACTAAAGAGTCTTTTGGAGCACAAAGGGTCCACAGTCCTATCGAGCGTAGTACGGCTTCAGGCGCACGACGTGGACGACCTCAGGTCGTGGTGGGCGGCGTGACGATGTTCGTGTTCCGTCGGGCATCACCTCGTAGTTCAGCTCGCCGAGGCGACGAAGTACTTTGTAGGGTCCAAAGTATCGTTTCAGCAATTTCTCACTGAGGCCGCGGCGACGGATGGGCGTCCATACCCACACCCTATCTCCGGGCTGGAAGTGGACGTCCCTGCGACGAAGGTTGTAGCGGCCGGCGTCGACGCGTTGCTGGTCTTGAATCAGGAGTCGGGCGAGCTGGCGAACTTCTTCGGCGTGTTGAGCAACCGCCTGGGCGTCGTCGCTCTCGTTGTCAGATGGCTCATCGGGCAGCATGGCGTCCAGCATGGTCGTTACCTTCCGACCATGTGCCAGCTGGAAAGGGGTGAATCCAGTGGTCTCTTGAACCGCCGTATTGTAGGCGAACGTGACGTAGGGCAACACCTCGTCCCACGTCTTGTGCTCTACGTAGACGTACATAGAGATCATATCGGCGATTGTCTTGTTGAGTCGCTCCGTCAGCCCGTTGGTCTGCGGGTGGTACGCAGTTGTACGACGATGGCTGGTGTGACTGAGTCGGAGGATTTCTTGGGTCAGTTGTGCCATGAACGATGATCCGCGATCTGTAATCAGAACTTCTGGAGCGCCGTGCCGGAGGACGATTGACTCAATGAAAAACTTGGCAACTTCCACAGCAGTCCCCGAAGGAAGAGCTTTCGTTTCGGCGTAGCGCGTGAGATAATCTGTGGCGACGATGATCCAGCGGTTCCCCGACGTCGAAGGCGGAAAAGGACCAAGTAGATCCATTCCGATCTGCTGGAAGGGTGCAGTTGGAGGAGAAATAGGCTGCAGGAGTCCGGCCGGCCTCGTCGGAGGTTTCTTGCGTCGCTGGCACTCGTGGCATGATCGTGTGTACAGGTGGACGGTCTTGGGGAGCTTGGGCCAGTAATACTTTTCACGAATACGGGCCAGTGTCCGGCTGTATCCAAGGTGTCCGGACGTCGGGTCGTCGTGACATGCTTGAAAGATCTCCCCTCGAAGGTCGG